CTACGAGCTGTTTTATAATAATATGCACCTAAGCCTCATTTTATGTTCTGGTGAAGTACTTCCTTGCAAACTGCCTTCTGATGTGTGTACAACAAGCTTTTCCTAATTACTACTTCAGTGGCTCATTGGTTTCATTTATGGTTTTTGCTGCCCTTTTGACAGACGTAATTACCAAACTATCAAAAACAGAATTGTCTAAACCTTTGGGAAGTAATTTGAACATAGAGAGGTCAATTCGCATATCGTTACCCCAAAAAAGGAAAATAAATGGACTGAACAATCTACTTAAAATCTGCAAAACAGAACTACAAGTTTTCTTGGAGAAAGTAAACAACAAATATGAACTCAAGAAGTCATGAATCACGAAGACTGTGAGTAGCAAACTTGAAACTAATTCATGGAAAAACCATTAAGATCTAGTTCTTTGGAAACTTAAGAGAATCGTCCTGGCCAGTTTGGCTCAGCGGTTAGAGCATAGGCCTGCAGTCCAGAGAGACGCGGGTTCAGTTCCCGATAAGGGAGCGTACTTTGGTTGCAGTTTGTCCCGGGCCCTGGTTGGGTCATGCGGGTGGCAGCCACTCGATGTGTCCCTTCCACGTCAATGTTTCTCTCTCTCCCTCCCAGTCTATCTGAACAAAAAATTGAAGAAAATGTCCTCGGGTGAGGATTAAAAAGGAAGATTATTTTTGAGGCTCTTCCTCTGGAGAGCATGCCTTTTCCCCTCCCCCCAGACAGGTTATTTTTGCCCTTCTCCCTCCTAAGCTCCAAGGGTCCTTCTTTTGTTTCTGTAACTTGTTTCCTGGGCCTATGCAGCCCTGCCGGCTTACTTCTACCTCTGTAACATCTAAATAAAAGAAAAAGAAAAAAATAAAGATTATTGCCCTGGCTGGTATGGGTTAGTGGTTAGATCGCCAGCCTGTGGACTGAAGGGTTGCAGGTTTGATTCCTGGTCAAGGGAACGCACCTGGGTGTGTTTGATCCCCGATCTACGTTGGGTTCGTGCGGGAGACAACCAATGTGTCTCTTTCACATCGATGTCTCTTTCTCTCTCTCTCCCCCCCCCCCATCCTCCCTCCCTTCTATCCTCTCTAAAAATCAATGGACAAATATCCTCAGGTGAGGACTGACAAAAAAAAGAAAAAGAAGTACAAATTGATGGTTACAGACTAGTCATGGGATGTAAAGTACAGCATAGGGAATATAGTCAATAAAATTCTAATAATTATGTAAGGTGTCAAATGGGCATGAGCTGTGTTGGGATGATCACTTAGTAAGTTATGTAATGTCTAACCACTCGGGTGTACACCTGAAACTAATATAATATTGCATGTCAACTATAATTGAAAAATAAACAATGATTAAAAATATTAAAGTGGCCCAAATGTCACCCTTGGGGAATTTACAGTTTAGCTGGGAACTTGTGTTCCGGAACCTTGGACAAAAGAAGAGTACTACTTCCTCCCGGGGAGGAGGATGAATCAGGGACGGCTCACTGGAGAAAGTGTCATTTGAGCAAGGTGTTGAAGGCGAATTCTGGTGATTAAGAAAGGCATGGGCACTAGAGTCAAGTAAATGTGGGATCGGATCTCAGCTCTGTAATTTCCTTGCCGGGTGATCCTGGGCAATGACCTCCTCTCCCTGGGCCTCAGCTTATAAAATGAAGCATCTCTCCCACCTCCCTGGGCTGCTGTAAGATTATCTGAAAGGAGAAACTATGGGTAAAGTGCTGTCCTAGGGTAATGACTCTACACATAGGCATCACTACTAGGCGATTTAAAAGATCTGAACGGCTCTGACTGGCGTGGCTCAGTCGGCTGGGCGTTGTCCTGTGCACCGAAAGGCTGATGGTTCGATTCCCAGCCAGGGTACATGGCCAGGTTTCGGGCTCAGTCCCTAGTAGGGGACATGCAGGAGGCAGGTGATCGATGTTCCACTCTCACATCAATGTATATATATATATCTCTCTCCCTCTCCCGTCCTCTAAATATCAATTAAAAAAAAAAAAACTTTAGCCCTGATCGGTTTGGTTCAGCAATTGGAGTGTCCAATGAGTCTCGGGTTCGATTCCGGTCAAGGGCATGTACCTTGGTTGCGGTTCGTCCCAGCCCTGGTTGGAGTCGTGCGGGAGGCAACCAATCGATGTGTCCCTTTCACATCGATATCTCCCTCTCTCTCCCTCCCTCTCTATCTGAAGATAGATGGAAAAGTATCCTTGAGTGAGGATTAAAACAAAAAAATCTTTAAAAAAAGAATAGCTCTGGCCAGTTTAGCTCAGCGGCTAAAGTGTTGGCCCACCAACCAAAAGGTCATGGGTTTGATTGCTGGTCAAGGGCACGTACCTGGGTTGCAGGTTCCATCTCAGCCCTGGTCAGGGTCATGCAGGAGGCAACCAATTGATGTATCTCTCTCACACTGATGTTTCTCTCTCTCTCCCACTTTTTCCACTCTCTCTAAAAATTAGTGGGAAAATATCCTTGGGTGAGGATTAACAAAAAACAAACAAAATAAAAACTAAATAAATAAATAAAAGATTTGAACAGGTGAGATTCTAGAGCAGCCCTGCCTAATGGAACTTCTATGGCGATAGAATGTTCTACATCCGCTCTGCCCAATGTGGTCGCCACCGGCCACACATACCTGTCCAGCACTTGAACTGTGGCTAGAGTAACCGAGCACTAAATTCTGTATTTTAATTAATTTAATTCATTTGAATTTAACCAGCCATAGACAGCTCCTGGGCACCAGACTGGGCCGCACAGACCCGAGGGGCTTGAGCAAAGGCCCAGAGGTGGAAAAACAATACAGCCCAGAGGTTCTGTATGAGTTTCCTGGGGCTGCTGTAACAAGTTACCACAAACAGTGACTTAAAACAACACAAATTTATTTAATTAAAATTTGGGGGGTCAGAAGTGTGACATCAAGGCATTGGCGGGTCTGTGTTCCTTCTCGAGGCTTCGGAAAGAATCCATTTTCTCGCCTTTTTCAGCTTCTGGACGCTGCCTGCATCCCTTGGCTCGCGACCCCTTCCCCACGTCCCTCTGATGTCTACTTCCATTGTCATGTCTCTTGCTACTGACTCTGCCGCTCCTGCCTCCCTCTTATAAGGACCCTTATGACGACACTGGGCACACCCGGATAACTAGGATCATCTCCCCATCTCAAGATCCTTAATGTAACCACATCTGCAAAGTCCCTTTTGTCATGTGAGGTCGCATAGTCACAAATTCAGGGGATTAGGCTTTGGGGGCCATTATTCTGTCTGCGACACGGTCTGAGCACCTAGAATACAAGTGTGTCCAGGGGCGGAGAGAAGTCTCGAATACCAAGTGAGGGAGCTTAGACATGGTCTTTCCTTCAAAATAGATCCATAGCCCTGGCCGGTTTGGCTCAGCGGCTAGAGCATCAGCCTGCGGTCCGGAGAGACCCGGGTTCGGTTCCCGCTAAGGGCATGTACCTCGGTTGCAGTTTGTCCCCGGCCCTGGTTGGGTTGTGCGGTGGCAGCCACTCGATGTGTCCCTTTCACGTCGATGTTTCTCTCTCTCTCTCCCCCTCCCAATCTATCTGAACAAAAAATGGAAAAATATCCTCAGGTGAGGATAAAAAAAAAACAACAACAAAGATCCATAGCATGTCACCCTGCCACCACCTGTACTGCTGTCACCTTGATTCAAGTCACCCTCATCTCGTGGACCATCAACTTTTGCAGGAGCTCCTCACTTCCTTCTCCTCTCCCCCATAGTCCAGTCTCCACCGGCAACCAGAGGGATCTTATTAAAATCTAACTCAATGCCCTGGCCAGTTTGCTCAGTGGTTAGAGCATCGGCCCGCGGACCAGAGTCTGGGTTCAATTCCAGTCAAAAGCACGTACCTTGATTACGATTTGGTCCCCAGCCCTGGTTGCGGTTGTGCGGGAGGCAACCAATCGATGTGTCTCTCTCACATCAAGTTTCTCTCTCTCTTCTTCTCTTTCTCTCTCTCTCCTCTTTCTCTTCCTCTCTTCCTCTCTCTCTCCTACTCTATCAAAGATGAATGGAAAAATACCCTCGGGTGAGGATTTTTTTTTAAAAGTTAAAATCTAAGTCAAATCAGGACACTTCTCTGCTCAGAATAGGGTTGTCTGATTTAGAAAACAAAAATATTACAGACTGCTCAGTTAAATTTGAATTTCTGATCCACAACAAGTAATTTTTTTTAGTATAAGTATGTGTCAAATATTGCATGGGTCATACTCATGCTAAAAAAAAATGTGTTTTGCCCAGCTGGTGTGGCTCAGTGGTTGAGCATCAAACCATGGACCAAGAGGTCACCAGTTCAATTCCCAGTCGGGACCCGTGCCCGGTTTGCAGACTCAATCCCCATTGGAGGTGTGCAGGAAGCAGCTGATTGCTGTCTGTCTCATTAATATTTTTATCTCCCTCTCCCTTCCAATCTCTCTCAGAATCAATTTAAACAAACATTAAAGCCCAGCCGGTGTGGCTCAGTGGTTGAACATTGACCCATGCACCAAGAGGTCACCAGTTCAATTCCTGGTCAGAGCACATGCCCAGGAGGTGGGCCCCATCCCCAGTGGAGGCCATGTAGGAGATAGCCAATGGATGTTCTCTCTCATCAATGTTTCTATCTATCTATCTCTTCCTCTCTCTCTAAAATCAATAAAGAAAAAAAATATATTTTTAGCCCTGGCCGGTTTGGCTCAGAGATTAGAGCATCGGCCTGCGGTCCAGAGAGACCCGAGTTTGGCTGCCACTAAGGGCACGTACTTCGGTTGCAGTTTGGGTTGTGGTTGGGTTGTGCGGGGGGCAACCACTCGATGTGTCTCTTTCACATCGATGTCTCTCTCTCTCTCTCTCTCTCTCTCTCCCTCTCTCTCTCCCTCTCTCTCCCTCCCACTCTATCTGAACCAAAAGAAAAAAGAAAAAGAAAAAAAAAAATTTAAATAAAAAAATATTTTAAAAATTTGTTTTTATTGTTGATCTGAAACTCAAATTTAATTGGATGTTTTATAGTTTATATGGTAATGGTAGCTCAGAAACCTCACATGGATCCCCAAACACTTGCTATGGCCTAGAAGGCTTTCAAAGTTTCTCTTCCCCACCCAGCACCTCTCTCTCTTTGTCTCACACCACCCTGCCTCTTGCTCACTCTACTCCATCCACAATGGCCTCTTCACTGTTCTTGGGGTATGCCTCAGGGCCTTTGCATTTGCTGTTCCCTCTGCTTGAATGTTTTTCTCCAGATTTAAGCATGAATCCTCTCTTCCTTCTTCAGATCTTGGCTCAAACATCACCTTTCCCAAGAGACATATTCCAAATTCCTTCATTTCTTTTTTTATTGTCTGTCTTCCTCCTCAAGAAAGTCAGCCCCCAGAGGGCAGGAACTTGTGTCTGTTTTGGTCACTGCTGCATCCCAGTGCCCACCATAAGGCCTTGCACAGAGCAGGTGCATAATGAATGTTTGTTGAATGAATAAAGGAATAAATGGCAATAGCATTGAGCTGCTGGATCTACCTATGCCTGAAGCGAGCTTTGTGAAATGGGATAGAAGGATACAAACCAGTTTTCCTCTCGCCTAAACCTCCATCTCCGAAATCAGGTCATGGCTGGTGGATTTCTTGCTGACCACACTTTCATCCTTGCTCTGTGACGCCTTCAGGGCCCAGCGACATGTGGCTGGCAGTGACTGGCGAAGTTGAGCCCGCCCGAAATACAGGAAGAGCAGAGGATTGAGGCAGCTGTGAGCAAGGGCGAGGCCCACCACCAGGGGCTCAGCCCACAGGGCCTGGGCCAGGAGCTTGGAGTGTGGGGCAGCCACGGTGAGGACCAGCCCCAGAATGTGGTAGGGGGCCCAGCAGACAAAAAACCCCACCACAACGGCCATGCCCAGTGGCCAGCAGTGTGGGGCTGCATGGCGGAGGAGGGCACCGTGGCAGGTGGCTACGACCACCAGTGGCCCTAGGAAGCCAAAAATAAACCGGGTGGCGGTCACTGTGTTCTCAGCCGTGGCCGAGCCGCCGTAGTCCACCACACACTCCAGCTGCGGTGGGAAGTGCTCCTGGTGCAGGTGGTGGTAGATGGCTGAGGGCACGGTCAGCATCAAGGCCAAGGCCCAGGCTGTCCCACAGGCCACCTGTACCCGGCGTGCCCGCCGATCCACAGCCCACCAGGTGGGCCGGAGGGCCAGCAGGCAGAGGTCCACGCTGAGAGCAGCCAGGAGCAGGACGCTGGCGTACATGGACACCAGGATGACGGAGGGCAGGACCTGACAGCCCACTGCCCCGTATGGCCATTGTCCTCTGAGGGCAATGGGCACCAACAGGATTGGGAGAGACAGACAGCAGAGCAGATCCGCCACGGCCAGGTGGAGAAACCAGGTGGCACCGACCCTCCGGCGAGCCTCCTTCCTGCTCACCCAGGCCAGCATGGCATTGCCTGGCACCCCAATCATGAAGACCACAGCATACAGCGAGAGAGGGGCCACGCGGAGGGCCCCGTGGGAGACACAGGTGCCATCAACGCAGTCCACGGGGAAATCTGGAATTCCATCATAGTGCCCGTACTCGTAGGTGACGGAAATGTTCTCCATCCAGGCCCTGAACACCTAGGCAGGAGACAAAAGCCACAAATCTCAGTGACGAAAACTCTCAGGTCCTTGGAATGCTGGGGTGTGGGAATCCCAGCCCGTCAGGATCCTAGAACTAGGATGTGACGGCATTAGAACCCTGGCGAGCTCTGATACTGGAATTCTAGAAAAACCATCAGAACCGGCTCATTAGCATCTTGGAATTCTAGAATATTCCAACCTAGAACACCAGCCCCTTAGAATACTGGAATTCTAGAATGCTAGTGTCTAAGCACTAGCTCATCAACATCCTGGAACTCTAAAACACGACAGGGTTGCCCTGGCGGTGTTGTTCAATGGTTAGCACATCAGCCCGCACACCAAAGGGTCTCAGGTTTGATTGCTGATCAAGGGCATGTACCTGGGTTGCAGGTTCGATCCCTGGCCCAGGTTGGGGTACAAGTGGGAGGCAACCAATCAATGTGTCTCTCTCACATTGATGTTTCTCCCTCTCTCTCTCTATCTCTCTCCCTCCCTCCCTCCCTACCACTCTCTCTAAAAATCAGTGGAAGAAATATACTCAGGCTGGCTGGTGTGGCTCAGTGGTTGAGCGTTGACCCATGCACCAAGAGGTCACCAGTTAGATTCCTGGACAGAACACATGCCCAGGTAATGGGCCTGATCCCCAGTAGGGGGCAAGCATGAGGCAGCCAATGGATGTTCTCCATCATCGATGTTTCTCTCTCTCCCTCTCCCTTCCTCTCTCTCTAATGTCAATCAATAAATTTAAAAAATATATATTATATATACTATAATTATATTATATAAAACACACACACTCGAGTGAGGATTAACAAAAAAAAAAAATAATAAAAAATATATCAAAACATGACAGTGTTAGAACCCCAGCCTATGAACATCTCGGAATTCTGGACTATTACAATGTAAGAACACAATCGTGATTAAAAAAAATCTTGGAATTCTGAAATATTAAACTGTTAGAACCCCAGCCAATTGTGACTTGGAATTCTAGAGTAGTGCTGCCCCACTGAACCCTCAGTGTTGCCGGAAATGTTCCGTCTGTGCCGCTCACTGGGGTAGCTGCCAGCCACAGGGGCCACCGAGCATTTGAAATGGGCCCTGGTTGGTGTGGCAGACAGCAGAGCGCACACCCCGCACAGGTACACGTCCTGGGTTTCACAACCTGAACGCAGCTGGATAACTGGCAACCAGGTCGAGACACGAAACATTTCGAGAATCCCACCAGAGCAGTTTTTAAAAATAATGACAGTGTGAGGTAAACAGGAAAGATAAAATGTTGAATTCTCTACAATTCCTTCCTTCCTTCCTTCCTTCCTTCCTTCCTTCCTTCCTTCCTTCCTTTTCATTCCTTCCGCACAGTTCCTGAGTACCTTCTCTGTCGCCCTCACTGGACTCACAGCAGGGGAAAGACAGACAAAAACCCCTTGCCCTTGGAGCTGCCAGTAAAATAATAAATAAGCAAACAGGAGAAGTCAGACAGTAAAATATAGATAAGCAAAATACCCAGTATTTCCAAAGCTGACAAATGCTATAGCAAAAGGAAAAAAAAATCACACAGGGAATTTTAAATTAAGTTAATTTTAATTAAATTTAATTCACATTAGTTTTTCATTAAATTAAATTTAATTTTAATTAAATCCTTAGTGTTGAAATTTTAAATGAGTGGTCAGGGAGGGCTTCTCTGTGAAGGTGACATTTGAGCAAAGCCATAAAGGAGGTGAGGGAGGGAGCTGGGTGGGGCTTTGGGGGAAGAGTTCAAGGCAGAGGGAACAGCCAGTGCAAAGGCCCTGAGGTAGGAATGTGATAGCCATGTTCAAGAAACATCGAGCCCTGGCTGGTTTGGCTCAGCAGTTAGAGCGTTGGCTCGCGGTCCAGAGAGTCCCAGGTTCGGTTCCTGCTAAGGGCACGTACCTCGGTTGCAGTTTGTCCCTGGTCCCAGTTGGGGTCGTGTAGGTGGCAGCCACTCAATGTGTCTTTCTCACATCAATGTTTCTCTCTCTCTCTTCCTTCTTCTCTCCCTCCCACTTTGTCTGAAGATAAATGCAAAAATGTCCTCAGGTGAGGATTAAAAAAAAAAAAAAGTTTAAAAAAAAAGAAACATGGAGAACATCAGAGTAACAGCACTGGTGTGGATTAGGGGGTTAAGGGAAGTAGGAATAGAAAGATATGAGAGGCCACATGAGCATTTAGGACTTTATCTTTTTATTTTTTTAATCCTCACCCAATGGGAGGATTACTGAGCAGAGAGGTGACATGATCTCTCATAGCAATAATAACTATCGTTGTTGGTATGATTATTCATATTATTATTAGAAGCCATCCTCTACTGAGCATTTGGTGTTACATGCTGGGCACTGTTCAGGCACCATTAAATATCATACTGCTTAATCCCAACAACTCTCTGATTTTAATACCACTGTTAAACCCATTCTGCAGATGAGGAAACTGAGGCATTGAGCAGTTAAGTAACTTACCTAAGTTCACTCAGCTAAGCAAGTAACAGACATGAGTTTCGGACTGTGATAGCCTCACTCCGGTATTCCGGGCCCCCGCATAGTATCATCCAAAAATCTTAGCTTCAGCCCTGGCCGGTTTGGCTCAGCGGTTAGAGCGTCGGCCTGCGGTCCGGAGAGACCCAGGTTCGGTTCCCGCTAAGGGCACGTACCTCGGTTGCAGTTTGTCCCCGGCCCTGGTTGGGTCGTGCGGGAGGCACCCACTCGATGTGTCCCTTTCACATTGATGTTTCTCTCTTTCTTCCTCTCTCTCCCTCCCACTCTATCTGAACAAAAATGGAAAAATGTCCTCGGGTGAGGATAAAAAAAAAACAAAAACAAAAATCTTAGCTGCGGGAGAGTTAGAAAGCAGGACAACCAGTGGCGCTGAGCAGACCCGGGCTCTGTGACTCAGTTTTGGTTTGTCTGAGGAGTGACAGTCACCCGGATGAACCTACCTCACAGGTCTGGGGAGGCCTTGAGGAGTTAGTATGTGTAAGGCACAGAGCGAGGGATCTGGAGATCTGTCAGAGTGACCTGAGCCGGAGGCCCCCTGCTGGCCCTGGGGCCTGGCTGGCACTGCCCAGAGCCAGGGTTGACACAACAGGAAGAGCAGAGAGGAGAAGTTGGGCACTCCCCGCTGGCCACTCTGCCCTGCCTAAAGTAAAGTGGAAACGAGGTAGCTGTTGAGAGGCCAAGCCACTCTGTGTGTGCTTGAAGTCTGGCGCTCTGTGCTCATATTATTTTTATCACTAGAGTAAACATGTGCAGGCTTTAGAAACGAAAACCCTCAGAGCCCTGGCTGGGTATCAAGTGGTTAGAGCACCGCCCCAATACCCAAGGTTGTGGGTTTGATCTCTAGTCAGGGTACACATAAGAAGTAGCAAACACCCTGGCCGGTTTGGCTCAGTGGTTAGAGCATCGGTCCGCCGACCAGAGAGTCCTGGGTTCGGTTCCCACTAAGGGCATGTACCTCAGTTGTGGTTTGTCCCTCGCCCTAGTTGGGGTCGTGTGGGTGGCAACCAGTCGATGTGTCTCTCTCACATCGATGTTTCTTTCTCTCTTTCTTCCTCCCTCCCTCCCACTCTATCTGAAGATAAATGCAGAAATGTCCTCAGGTGAGGATAAAAAAAAACACAGCAACCAATGAATACATAGATAAGTGGAACAACAAATCAATGTTTATCTCTCTCTCTCTCTTTAAAATCAATCAGTAGATCCAGCCAGTGTGGCTCAACGGATTGAGTGTGTCCCAAGGACTGAGAGGTCACAGTTTCATTGCCAGTCAGGGCACATGCCTGGGTTGTGGGGTTGATCCCCAGTCGGCAGGAGGCAGATGATTGATGTATCTCTCTCACATTGATGTTTCTCTCTCTCTCTCCCTTCCTCTCTCTCTCTAAAAAAACAATAAAAACATATTTAAAAATAATAGCCCTGGCCCATTTGGCTCACCGGTTAGATCGTTGGCCCACAGACCAATGAGTCACGGGTTCAATTCTGGTCAAGGGCACCTACCTCGGTTGTGGTTTGTCCCAGCCCTGGTTGGGGTCGTGCAGGAGACAACCAGTCTCTGTGTCCCTCTTACATCGATGTTTCTCTCTCTCCCTCCCTTCCACTCTATCCGAACAAAAATGGAAAAATATCCTCAGGTGAGGATTAAAAAGAATAATAAACTAAAATAATAAATAAAAACAAAATCAATCAATCAATTAAAAACTAAAAACTCACCCCTGGCTGGGTGGTTCAGTTGGTTGGAGCATCGTCCTGTGCTCCAAAAGATTTCGGGTTCAATTCCCAGACAGGGCACACACCTAGGTTGCAGGTTCCATCCCTGGTTGGGGTGCATACAGAGGCAGCCATTCGATGTCTCTCTCTCGCTCTATCTCTCTCTTCCTCTCTCTCTCTAAAAATCCACAAAAACATATCCTCGGGTGAAGATTAAAAAATAATTAAAAACTCTAACTTTCACCAGCTGTGTGGCGTTGGGCAAGTCACTCAACATCTCTGTGCCTCAACTGCCTCATATATAAAATGAGAATAATAATATACCTACATTAGAGGGTGTTATGAGAATTCACCAAGTTAATAGCAGTGAAGAGCCAAGCACAGCACCTGGTCCACAGTGAGCTTTAAACAGGTAGCAGTGACTGTCCCAGCTGTCTACTATTTAGACACACCCTCTGGCCCCACCCCAAGACCCAACCTCCCCCCTTACCCAACAACCCTTCCCAGCTCTTACCGAGTAAAAATCCGGGAAATTCTCTGCGTGTAAATAGTTCAGTCAGTCTGTGTGTGCTATTTCCCTTTTAATATTCTAAACAGAAATGGGAACATTCAGCACCGACTGTGTCATTGCTTAACCCTGTCCACTTCATGCACCTTTGGGTCGTTTCCCTATCTGCATCACCTCCTGTCTTCGAAACCAGCCCACAGTCTGGGCGTGTCAAGCTTATTAACCAGCCTCAGACTACAGGGCATTTAATGATCATCAATGAGCAGCACTGTTATTCTATACAATAACTTCTATTTGTATGCTGATATCTACATATAAAACGTAACTGCTGCCCTGGCCAGTTTGGCTCAGTGGTTGAGCGTCGGCCTGCGGACCAGAGAGTCCCGGGTTCGGTTCCCGCTAAGGGCACATACCACAAAAAAATAAATAAATAAAAAATCTTAAAAAAAAAAAAAAAAAAGTAACTGCCATGATTATTATTTTATAATCATTCAAATGACAGATGACATTTTTCAACCACCTGTTATGTCCAGGTGTCATCACCCTATGAAATAAGTTATTATTGTTATCTCCATTTCCCAGAAGGTCAGGATTCTTACTATTATCCCCATTTTCCAGTGTCTATTCTTCCCTGCTGTGTCCGGCATCCAGCACACAGCGGGTGTTTAGTTGATGTTTGTGGAGGTAAAGAATGAAGAGGAGCCCTGGCCAGTTTGGCTCAGCGGTTGAGCGTTGGCCTGCGGACCAGAGAGTCCCGGGTTCAGTTCCCGCTAGAGGCACGTACCACAAAAATAACAATAATAATAATAATAATAATAATGTTTAAAAAAAAGAATGAAGAGGGAAACTGAGGCACAGAGAAGCTAAGGGGTCACTTAGGTGTCTCTCCGTTCCTCCCAATTACAAGCACCCACTCGCGTGCTCTTGGCACACGTGTGTTCGTGTCTGCCAGGCTGGCTAGGACCGCTGAGCTGGGAAACTGTGGGACACACGAAACCAAAAGCCAAGCGCTGGGATGTTCGTTGCAGCCCAAGACGGGAAAGCATCCAAATATTCACCCACAGGGGAACGAAGAAACATACCACGTTGTTCTTTTCGTGCAGTGGAATGAACGTGGAAGGGTTTTGTGTGGAGGAGACAGAGCCAGACACACAGGACAATGTGCTGGATGATCCTATTCACATAAAGCTTAAAAAACAGGCAAGAGGCCCTGGCCGGTTTGGTTCAGCGGTTAGAGCGTCGGCCTGCGGTCCTGGGAGACCCGGGTTCGGTTCCCGCTAAGGGCACGTACCTCGGTTGCGGTTTGTCCCCGGCCCTGGTTGTTGTGCGGGTGGCAGCCACTCGATGTGTCCCTTTCACGTCGATGTTTCTCTCTCTCTCTGTTCCTCTCTCTCCACCCCCCCCCCCACTCTACCTGAACAAAAAATGGAAAAGTGTCCTCGGGTGAGGATAAAAAAAAAACAAAAAAACAAAAAACAAACAAACAGGCAAGAGAATTCTATGGGGGTGGTAGTGACCGGGGTTGGGGACCAAAGGGGGCTCGGGGACTGGGCCCATGCTGCTTCTTGACCCCGGGTGCCGGTTACCTGAGTGCTGAGCTCCTGGAGACGCCCCGCCCCGATGTGCCGCTGCTCCGCGTCACACAGGACAGGACACGGAAGGACCTTCCTTATGAAGAGGAACCACCGAGCTGAAGGGATCGTTCACGGGCCACGTGACTGTGGTGGCCTTCCCAGAAGGCGCAGATTGGAGAGGGCTGTTTACTGGACACCTGAGCGTGACAAAACATCGGGATCCTCGGGGAAGCCTTTCTGTTGGGCTGCCCACGTCCACCCAAGAGCCGCGGTTCCGATGCGGACTGCAATGTGACAGTCATGAAGGTTCCAGTCCTCGCCCTGGCCGGTTTGGCTCAGCGGTTAGAGCGTCGGCCTGGGGTCCAGAGAGACCCGGGTTCGGTTCCCGCTAAGGGCACGTACCTCGGTTGCAGTTTGTCCCCGGCCCTGGTCGGTTGTGCGGGGTGGCAACCACTCGATGTGTCCCTTTCATGTTGATGCTTCTCTCTCTCTCTCTCCCCCTACTCTATCTGAATAAAATATGGAAAAATGTCCTCGGGTGAGGATTTAAAAAAAAAAAAAAAAAGATTCCAGTTCTGGTGCCCAGGAGCTGAGAAGAAGGAGTTTCACGGGCCAAGATTGTGAAACTCCCCCTTCTTCCGCTCCTCCTTCCCCCCATCCTTACCGCCTCTTGCAAGAGGGCTGCCAGTCTGGCCAAAGGCACGATCCGGGCCCATCGCCAGGGCCCTGGAGGTCTGGGGTCTCTGCGGAGCGTCTGGCGCCTGGTGAATTCCTGGAAGTTCGTCGTGTTTGCCAGGACCCCTATGGGACACGACTGGGCACAGCCGTTTCACTGGCCCCAGCAAATCTTCAGAACCGGGAAAAACACGGGAAAAACAGGAGTGGCATTCTCCTACTGAACTCTTCCTCTCCATGACTCACACGTCCCAAAATTACCGGGCAGCAAATGAGGTCAGAGATGGCTTGGTGGGTGGAAAGCTGACCAGGTCCCCAACCCACCCAGGCTCAGTGTCACCAGCTTCCTGGAAGCCAGACCCGCATGTGGTTTGACCTCGGAGGCCTGGGGATCTTGGCTGTCCCCACAGAGCCCTCTGAGGTCTTCCTCATTCAGCAGCCGCTGCCTGCTGCCCACTCCCAGCCGCCAAGGACGTGCCCAGCCCTGGGCAGTCTGCCTTCTCCTGAGCCCTGAGGACAGATAAATATTTCTCCTGCCTCGCATGTTCGGAGGGAGACAGCTCAGGGTCATGTCCTCCACAAGAGACCAAGGCCGGTGACCAGAGTCTGAGTCCTCAGAGGCAGACAGAACACTAGCAAGTCCTACTGAGGCAGGACGGTAAGAAGCTAGGAAAACCTGGGCGCGATGGAGTGGGGAAACTCAGACAAGACCATTAAACGGGGGCAAACAATTTGAACAACTTACGGCCGGTTGAAAGACCTTATCTTCCCTAACCAAGGACCCTTGAGAGCAAACAGTGTATATCTCTCGTCCCTGACCAGAGAATACACAGCTCACATCACCCTGGTCGGGAAGATAAGAGACCCAATTAATGCCATCTGTGCCAGGGACAAACAAAGTCCGGGGAACAAATAACCAAAACACCGTCAGAGCCAGACAGACCCAAGATTAAAGTAAAACAGTAAAGCAGCCCAAAGAACAAGGCCAAACTCCACTATCCGCTCCTGCTGATGCATCAGCACATTAAAAACACACCTAGGCCCTGGCCGGTTTGGCTCAACGGTTAGAGCGTCGGCCTGTGGTCCCGAGAGACCCGGGTTCGGTTCCCGCTAAGGGCACGTACCTTGGTTGCAGTTTGTCCCCGGCCCTGGTTGGTCGTGCGGGTGGCAGCCACTCGATGTGTCCCTTTCACGTCGATGTTTCTCTCTCTCTCTCCCTCCCGCTCTATCTGAACAAAAAATGGTAAAATGTCCTCAGGTGAGGATAAAAAATAAATAAAATAAAATAAAATAAATTAAAACACCTGGCAAGCTGACGCGTTTTCTGCTGACACCCTCTCTAAGATTCTCACCTGCAGAAGGGAGATAAAACCCTCAAGACAGAAGACACCAGACAGAAGACACCAGCGCTGGCTGGAGCACACCCGCGCCCCTTCTTGGTCATGAACTTTTACTTCCCCCACCAGACCCGAAACCAGGGAAGCAGTGGGCAGCACAGTGGCAGCTTGTCCTGGGGTTAACACCCTCATCCTGTCCCCAAGGCCCCCTTTTCTCTGACCTCCCAGGGAGCCAAAGCAGCACTGCCCAGGCTCTCTCCGGTAGCTTCTATCCCAGCCCTTCCACGTGTCACTCACTGTCCCCAGCTTTAGTAAACGTGCTCCCACAAGCACCCCAACTCATGGTGTGAAATCTTTCCCGCACAAAGCCAGGCACCCACACGCTACAGGCCGGCCTGAGGCAGATACAGCCTGGGCCGGTCCCCATCCGGTGACACTATCTCCTCCGTGGGCCTCAGTTTTCCAACTTTAAAATGGGAAGATGTTGGCTATGGTGGTTCCCTAGCTCACTCTCGGCAAAGCACAGAGTCTGAGGATGGGCTCGAGAGACAGAACACTCAGACTCTGATTCCAGACCCAGAGACTTGGGGACCTCCGCCACCCTGAGCCTCAGTTTCCTCATCTGTAAAGTGGACTTTTTGCTCCGAGCATTAAGTGGGTGAAGAGAATTAAAACATAACAGTGGTGCCCGGTTCACAGAATACATTATGCACATGTTTGTTAAATTAACAACAACAGGCCCTGGCCGGTTTGGCTCAGCGGTTAGAGCGTCGGCCTGCGGTCCTGAGAGACCCGGGTTCGGTTCCTGCTAAAGGCACGTACCTCGGTTGCAGTTTGTCCCCGGCCCTGGTTGGTTGTGCGGGTGGCAGCCACTCGATGTGTTCCTTTCATATCGATGTTTCTCTCTCTCTCTCTGTTCCTCTCTCTCCCTCCCACTCTACCTGAACAAAAAATAGAAAAATGTCCTCAGGTGAGGATAAAAAAACAAACAAAACATAACAGTGGTGCCCGGTTCACAGAATACATTATACACATGTTTGTTGAATTAACAACAACAGAATATATATACTATAAAGTCTTACATTTTACATTTGAGGAATGCAGGCTTAGCAAGAGGAAGGGGCTCTCACTCCAACTTTGGAACCATTCAGCAATTTTTTTTTTTTTAATTTGAGAGAGAGAGAGAGAAACATGGGTGTGAGAGAGAAACATCGATTGCCTCCCATACGAGCCCCGATGGGGGATCAAACCCACAACCTAGGTATGTGCCCTGACCTGGAGTCAAACCCTCAACCTTTTGTGGGTGGGAGGATGCTCCAACCAGCTCCGGCTCAGCGATTCTTTTGTGTTTGCGTGTCTCTCCCTGCGTGGCGTGTCAACATAAGAAACATCCAAACCTGTAGAGAATTTGAAAGAGTTTATTTGAGCCAAACTGATGACAATCAGAAGCAAAATCTGAACAGATTGAGAAATGCTCCAGAGAATGGCAGTTTTGCACCTTATTTTATTCATTTAAGTTTTTTTGTTTTTTTTTTGTCATTCATCCTCACCCAAGGATACTTTTCCATCAATCTCCAGCCAGAGCGGAAGGGAAGTAGGGAGGGAGGAAGAGAGAGAGAGACCTCAATGTGAGAGAGACGCATGGATTGGTTGCCTCCCGCACAACCCCGACCCGAACCCGAATCGAACCTGCAACTCAGGCACATGCTCCCGACCGGAAATAGAACCAGAGACCCTTTGGTCCTTGGGTGGACACTCCAACTGCTGAGCCAAACTAGCCAGGGCTGCTCCTTATTTTATGTTACAATCAAAGGAGAAGACGTAAGGAAGGTTACGTGAACTCCATCGGTGGTAGATTAAGTGGGCAGGAGAAAGCAAAGGGGAAATTTCTGGGATCAGCTAAAGAGCAAAATGGAAAGACACGTACTTCTTTACATCGAAAAGGAGATCACCCTGATATTTCAAAGGTATGTTATCTTAGACACAAAAAGACAACAGACAGGCTCAGTTAAGGTAAAGACTGACCTTTGTCAAGGACTCTGGGCCAGGATGTGACTGCCCACCGCGACGCATTTTAGTCAGAAGGTCTATGTTCAGACCGTTCTGTGTGGTTACTTTGGTCTCAGAATTTGTCAGGCGGCCACGCAGGCCTCCTCTGAGCTTCTCGGTGCTGGCCGATTTGGTTCAGCGGTTAGAGCATCGGCCTGTGGTCCAGAGAGACCCTGGTTCGGTTCCTGCTAAGGGCACGTACTTTTCTTTTTTTCTTTTTTATCCTCACCCGAGGACATTTTTCCATTTTTTGTTCAGGTAGAGTGGGAGGGAGAGAGAGGAACAGAGAGAGAGAGAGAAACATCGACGTGAAAGGGACACATCGAGTGGCTGCCACCCGCACGACCGACCAGGGCCGGGGACAAACTGCAACAGGTACGTGCCCTTAGCAGGAACCGAACCCAGGTCTCTCCGGCCCGCAGGCCGACGCTCTAACCGCTGAGGCAAACTGGCCAGGGCAGGGCACGTACTTTGTTTGCAGTTTGTCCCCGGCCCTGGTTGGGTCGTGTGGGTGGCAAACACTCAATGTATCCCTTTCACGTCGATGTTTCTCTCTCTCTCTCTTTCTCCCCAACTCTGTCTGAACAAAAAATGAGAAAATGTCCTCCGGTGAGGATAAAAAAAAAAGTACAAATTGGTTGTTGGACCGAGGAACCTCAAAGGGAAGGGGTAGGGTGGGGTGGGAAAAAATAAACCGAAGAATTTATATGTATATATGCATAACCAACGGACACATACAGTAGTGTGGGGAAAAGCAGGAGGGGGGAGGGAGAGAGGAGGAGGGGGTCAATAGGGGAAAAAGGAGGAACATCTGTAATACATTCAACAATAAAGATAAGTTTTTTTTGTTTTTTTTTGAAGGCTCTGTCTCTGAAGACTAGACTGTTGGAATCACAGACTCTTAGAATGTTGGAATCATAGGTTATTTGACCCAAGGGATCCTACAATGTTCATCATAGGCTATTCGAATCACAGAATTCTAGAATGTCACACCAGGACCTCAGAGTCTTCGAAATATAGGGCTCCAGCTGTTTGATGTCAGAATTTTGTAGATGCTGTAAACATTAGTTAAGGAATTCTAGCTCCGAGTTGTCCAGTATGGTCGCCACTGGCCACATGAGGCTACTGAGCATTTGAAATGTGGTAGCTCCCAGTGAGAGTCGCTGTGAGCATAAAATACACATCAAATTTCCAAGACCTGGTACAAAAACACCGAAACAATGTGACAGCTCTCAAGAATGTGACATCTCTCTCAACATCTCTCAATCAATAGTCATTTTAGTCTGGCCGGTGTGGCTCATGCATCAAGAGGTCACCGGTTCGATTCCCGATCAGGGCACATGCCCAGGGTGGGGGCCCAGTCCCCAGTGGGAGGCATGCAGGAGGCGGCCAATCGATGTTTCTATCTCTCTCTCCCTCTCACTTCCTCTCTCTCTAAAATCAATAAAGGGAAAAAAAAATTTTTAAATAAATAAAGTCATTTTATATTGATTCTGTATTAAAATTAGAATATTTGAAATATATTTGAGTATGAAATATATCACCAAAATTAATTTTACCTCTTTTTTTTTAATTTTATTTCTCTTTGCTTGTCTCTTGCCTGTCTGTGGAAACTGTGAAATTGTGTGTGTGGCTCATGTGACATTCTTTTTGTTGTTGTTGTTCATATAGAGTGGGAGGGGGAGAGAGAGAGAGAGAGAGAGAGAGAGAGAGAGAAACATCGACGTGAAAGGGACACATCGAGTGGCTGCCACCCGCACGACCCAACCAGGGCCGGGGACAAACTGCAACCGAGGTGCGTGCCCTTAGCGGGAACCGAACCCCGGTCTCTCTGGGCCGCAGGCTGACACTCTAACCGCTGAGCCAAACCGGCCAGGGCATCATGTGACATTCTTTCAGACAGAGCTAATCTGGAGTGACACCTGCTGGATGTCCCAGACCTGATGCTGGAGGTCACATGGCACAGATGCAGAGAAGAGGCCCTGACCTGGTCTTGGAACAGGGTGGGGGTGGCAGGGGACTTGGGGAGGGGGGCGCTCAGCTGATTCAGCCAAACCCATCATTCTCTTCCTTTCCCCACCACTTCCTCTTCCAGCTTGTTGAACCAGCAAATTCTTGAGCCCTGAGTTTGGCAATCATCTGGCCCTTCAACCTACTTCCTCCTGGGGCTGGGCAGCACGAGGCAGAGGCTGAAGAGAAGCCGTTTAAATCCCACTCATTGGCCTCCAATGTTTCTAGAAGACTGTTGTGAGGCAGCATCTCCTTCCCAAATCAGGCTGAGGGAAAGGTCTCTGGCTGCAGCTCGCTCCCCAACGCAGGAAAGCTAAAAACGGCCAGGGACAGAGACGGGGCTTGAGGGCGGAGAGGCAGAGGGGGGATCGCCAGGGACAGAGACGGGGCTTGAGGGCGGAGAGGCAGAGGGGGGATCGGGGAAGGGTTCCTGCAGAAACTGTGCCCTGAGGGAAGGTAGAACAGAGACAGGGATGGTCTCTTAGAACAGTCCAGGCAGCTGAGAACCAGACAGGAAGAGAGGCAGGGGCACCCGTGGGAAGGATGGAGGACTGGGACCAGCCGGGCGTGGGGCGGGGAGAAGGGGGCGCCCAGTGTGGGAATGCGAGGGGAGGGGAGGTTTAGGAGAAGAGGCCCAGGTAAGTTTGGGGAAGGAGAGTGGGTGTGGAAGCCATGCCCTGCCGAGAGCTGTGAAGGTATCAGTGAAACTGCAGAGGTGAGAAGGGTGTTCAAGAGAAAACTCCAGCCCAGCTGGTGTGGCTCAGTGGTTGAGCGTCGACCCAGGCACCAAGAGGTCGCTGGTTCGATTCCCGATCAGGGCACATGCCCAAGTTGGGGGCCTGATCCCCAGTGGGGGGCATGCAGGAGGTGGCCAATCAATGTTCTCTCTCATCGATGTTTCTATCTCTCTCTCCCTTTCCCTTCCTCTCTCTAAAAATCAATAAAGGAAAAAAGTTTGTTTTTTTTTTTTTAAAAGAGAGAGCCCTGCCCGGTTTGGCTCAGCGTTTGGAGCATTGACCTGCGGACCAGAGAGCCCCCGGTTCAGTTCCCACTAGGGGCACGTACGAAAGAGAGAGAGAGAGAGAGAGAGAGAGAGAGAGTAAGAAAGAGGAAGGAAGGAAGGAAGGAAGGAAGGAAGGAAGGAAGGAAGGAAGGAAGGACTCCAGCCCTGGCTGGTTTGGCTCAGTGGTCAGATCTGGGGACCAAAGAGTCACAGGTTGGATCCCCAGCCCCGTGTGCGGGAGGCAACCAATCAATGTGTCTCTCTCACATCCATGTTTCTAACTCTCTCTCTCAATCCCTCTCTCTCTCCGCCCTCCGTCCCACTCTATCTGAAAAAAAAAAAAAAAAAATCAATGGAAAAATATCCTCTGGTAAAAGAGAGAGAGGACTCCAGAAAGTCAACATGTAAGGGCAGAGGAAGAAAGTCCAGAGGAAGCAGGGAAGGACCATGCAGAGAGACAGAGGGAGACAGAGAGAACTAGCTCGGCCCGGAGCCGGCCTGGGCAGAAGGCAGAGGAGGGACTTTGGCAGTCGAGGTAGGGGGACACCCAGGTGCCCCCACCTGTGGCTATCAGGTAGCTGGGCTCCACAACCTTGCTGCCAGGGAGTCCGCACAGCAACCAACACTCACCATCAAACCCACACACGCCTATTCTGGAAGCCAGAGCACCTGTCCTCCTACATGCTAAGCACCTTGATTTTTTTTCAAGAGTGGAAGGGAGAGGGAGAAAGAGATAGAAACATCGATGACAGAGAACATCGAGTGGTTGCCTCCTGCATGCCCCCCACTGGGGATCAGGCCCACAACCTGGGCATGTGTCCTGACTGGGAATCAAACCGGTGATCTCTTTTTTTTTTTATCCTCACCCGAGGACATTTTTCTATTTTTTGTTCAGATAGAGTGGGAGGGAAAGAGAGGAACAGAGAGAGAGAGAAACATCGACGTGAAAGGGACACATCGAGTGGCTGCCACCCGCACGACCAACCAGGGCTGGGGACAAACTGCAACCGAGGTACGTTCCCCTAGCGGGAACCGAACCCGGGTCTCTCTGGTCTGAGGGCTGACGCTCTAACCGCTGAGCCAAACTGGCCAGGGCGAACCGGTGATCTCTTGATGCATGGGTCAATGCTCAACCACTGAGCCACACCGGAAGGGCGCTCAGCACCTTTAAACAAAGGACGTACCCAAGGCAGCGGCGAGGGAACTGCAAGGTCCCCAGCCAGTGCCCCGCTGAAGGGCACTCCCTGCGCGCTGCTCTTGCAAAGAGACGGGAAGTCTCTGGTCCAATCCAGCGGCCACCAGCCCCGAACTGAGACGTGCTAACGCGACACACACAGGATTTTGAAGACTTGGTACAAAATAAAAAGTAAGCCCCGGCAGGTTTGGCTCAGCGGTTAGAACATTGGCCTGTGGTCCACAGAGACCCGGGTTCGGTTCCCGCTAAGGGCACGTACCTCGGTTGCAGTTTGTCCCCGGCCCTGGTTGGTCGTGCGGGTGGCAGCCACTCGATGTGTCCCTTTCACGTCGATGTTTCTCTCTCTCTCTCTCTTCCTCTCTCTCCCTCCCACTCTGTCTGAACAAGAAATGGAAAAATGTCCTCGGGTGAGGATAAAAAAAAAAATAGTAAAAGATCTCGTTAATAATTTTGCACACTGATTACATGTTAAAATAAAAATATTTTGGATATATAGAGTTAAACAAACTATATTATTGACTAGATGATTATTATGTTACACATTATATATAGCAATATAATATAAATATGTCATATTAATAGCCGCTAAGGGCATGTACCTCGGTTGCAGTTTGTTCCCAGCCCTGGTTGGTCGTGCGGGTGGCAGCCACTCAATGTGTCCCTTTCACGTCGATGTTTCTCTCTCTCTCCCCCTCCCACTCTATCTGAACAAAAAATGGAAAAATGTCCTCGGGTGAGGATAAAAAAAAAAAGTTTTTAATGTGGCTACTAAAATATTTAAAACCACCTATATGGCCGGTTTGGCTCAGCGGTTAGAGCGTCGGCCTGCGGTCTGAAGAGACCCGGGTTTGGTTCCCGCTAAGGGCGCGTACCTCGGTTGCAGTTTGTCCCCGTCCCCGGTTGGTCGTGCTGGTAGCAGCCACTCAATGTGTCCCTTTCATGTCAATGTTTCTCTCTCTCTCTCTCCCTCCCAAAAAATGGAAAAATGTCCTCGGGTGAGGATAAAAACATAAATAAAAAATAAAACCACCTATATGGCACACATCATATTTCTGTTGGCCAGTGCTTATCTATACAATATTTCTAGCACACACACACACAACACACACACACAACACTAAACAGAAATAGTCTAAAGTCAGCGATACATCACAACTCAACATTGATTTTATTTTCATCATGCAAGTGATGCACACTAGCTTTTTACAGAGTCAGAGGTTACATACTGTACGATTCCACTTATACAACCTTCTCCAAAGGGCAAAGCTAGAGATGGAGGCAGGTGCCTGGTTGCCAGGGGTTCGGGACAAGGCTGAGGAGGGAAGTGGGGGTGGCGAGAAAAGGGTGTCACAAGGGATCCTGTTGATGAAAGTGTCCTTTACCTGGACTGTACCAGTGTCAACATTCTGGTAGTGATTTGGTAACATCATTTTGCAAGATGTTTCTATTGAGGGAAGTAGATCAAAGGGACACAGGACACCTTTGTCTTATTACTTAAACTGCACGGGAGTCTGCAATGATGAAAAATAAAAAGTTTACTTTTTGAAAGTGCAAACAAAGTAGTTTACAAAATAAAAAGACAAATTCCTCTGTGACCCTGCGGCCAGGAGGTGATGGAACAATGATGCTTACCCTCAGCCTTCATGCCTTCCTCATGCTTGTTTCCCTGGTAACTACATACCATCTTTTTACTTTTTTAAAAACCCATTTAGGCAACATTTTAACTTCTTGTTTGTCTTGAAATCAACTCACTTACAGAAGCTTACAAAGCTTTTTCTTCCCTAGTTACTTTTTTTCCCCCAACTCTCCATAAAATAAATACTTAACCGTTTTTTTTTTTTGAAAGGTTATAATGTTTCCATTCCTCTATATTCTATGTCTTTACTGTGTTTTCTTTCTTTAAAAAAAAAATCATTTTTAATTGATTTCAGAGAGAGGAAGGGAGAGAGAGAAGCATCAATGTGAGAGAGAAATATAAATCGGTTGCTTCCTATACATGCCCGGACCAGGGATCAAACCCACCACCTCTTTGTTTACAGACGACGCCCCCACCAACGTAGCTACCCAGCCAGGGCTCTTACTCTCTTTTCTTTGCATCCTCTCTGCCCATGCAAACATGTTGCCGTCAGAGGGTACTCCTGGTATATTGGTGTGTGATTATTTTTCAAAGTCCTTGGATAAAGGTGAAGGCTGTGTGGCCCCAGAGGAATAGTTTGTGGACCTTGGAAAGGATGAAGGGTGAAGGAGAGTTCGCTAAAAACACCAGCTCACACGGGGCGGAGTTCAAAGAAGCAGAGGAGAATGGACCACAAGGCAGGCAGATGGTGGCCGGGGAGGTGCCCCCTCACAGCGCCTGGCTCTTCTGGGCTGGGGTGTCCACTGTGGACAATGTGACAGACCTGGACTCCCTGGTCGTCGACTCCTCGGTCAGCACATACCGGAGCCGGGCAGGGAGGGACTGGAGGAACCGCACGTGGAAGCTCTGGGTGGCAAACACATAGATGACGGGGTTGATGCAGCTGTTGATGTAAGCGATGGAGATGCACAGGGTATCGAAATAGTGCGCGGTTTTGAATACGTCGTCATTCCTGCCGAAGAAGGCCAGCAGCATCCCTGACACCTGGTAGGGCAGCCAGAGGACAAAGAAGCTGGTCACCACGGCCACCACCACCTTGAGCGTCTTGGTGGAGCGCGTGGCGCTGCGGCTCCACGCGCGGATCAGTAGGAAGGTGTAACAGATGGTGAGTGTGATCAGGGGACACAGAAAACCCAAGAGCAGCCGGAGGGTGACCACAGCCCTCTCCTTTTTGAAACCGTTGCTACCGTAGTCGACACTACACACTTTCTTGGTTGGAAAGTAACGCACGTGAACCGTGCGGAACATGAAGGAGGGGATGGTCAGTAGAAGGGCCAAGCCCCAGGCCACGGCGCAGGCCACCCAGGCCATGGAGGCCCCTCTGTAGTTTTGGCACCAGACGGGGTTAAACACCAGGAGAAAGCGGTCGGCGCTGATGAAGGCCAGAAGCAAGATGCTGGCATACAGGTTGAGCAGGAGGAGGGAGGGGAGAATGCGGCAGGCAGCTTCCCCGAAGGACCAGTGGTGATGCTGGAGGGTGGTCACAAACATGACGGGCAGCGCCAGGCAGGAGAGGAGGTCGGCCACTGCCAGGTTGAGAAACCAGATGGCATTGATGGTTCGTCTGGCCTCGCAACTTGTCACCCAGACCACCAGGAAGTTGCCGGGCGCTCCCACCAGGAACACGACTGCAAAGACCACCAGAGCCATAGTGTCCGAGGGGCTCAGCTTAGGGACGGAGGAAGAGTTATCCACTGGCAAACTTTCGTCCCAGGTGGAACCATAATTGTAGTCAGGGGTGAAGGCCTCATCGTACTCCTGGGTGGAATCAGAGAGGCAGAGAGAAGTTGAGTCTGCAGATAGAGGCCTATCACCCCACTTCTTTTTATTTATTTTTATTATTTTATCCTCACCCGAGGACATCCTTCCATTTTTTGTTCAGATAGAGTGGGAGGGAGAGGAAGAGAGAGAGAGAGAAACATCGATGTGAAAGGGACACATCGAGTGGTTGTCACCCGCACGACCAACCAGGACCGGGAACAAACTGCAACCGAGGTACGCGCCCTTAGCGGGAACCGAACCCGGGTCTCTCTGGACCGCAGGCCGACGCTCTAACCGCTGAGCCAAACCGGCCAGGGCTCACCCCACTTCTTTGAGCCTCAGGTTTATCCCAGGCAATGGGGGGACTGCTGAGGGCTGAGAGTCAGCAGGGGTGTCACACTCCTTATTGAAATAGTGACAATTGCCCTGGCCGGTTTGGCTCAGCGGTTAGGGCGTCGGCCTGCGGACCAGAGAGTCCCGGGTTCGGTTCCCGCTAAGGGCACGTACCTCGGTTGCAGTTTGTCCCCCGCCCCGGTTGGGGTTGTGTGGGTGGCAGCCAGTCGATGTGTCTCTCTCACATCGATGTTTCTCTCTCTTCCCCCCTCTCTCCCTCCCACTGTCTCTGAAGATAAATGCAAAAAGTAATAATAATAAATAAAAGAGTGACAACCTTCCATGCTGAATGGACTCCCTGCCACCCTGCCACCTCCTCATAAAGTCCCCAGACTTCCCCACAGTTCAGCTACCAAATGATTGAAGCTGAGATTTGTGACAAGCTGTGGTCACTCTCTGTTCTGATGGGTCAGTGCCCGTGATATGATGCTTGTTAGACATCTTTCAGATCACCAACAAACGGAGATGGTGTAACTAGGGTCACACCTCACCGCCACCATCACCCCCTTCGGCTGCCTCCGCCCACTGGGGCAGCTCGGTGGGCCGTCTGGGGGTGGCTCCCCAGAGAAGGCAGCGGTTGGGCAGGGCCCCATGTACTCAGGAACAACGTTTAGAGGAAGGGGCAGAGGTGGGGCACCAAAAAGTCAAGTTATCAAGACAAATAATACCGTAATGCAATATTTTCAAGAATCAAAAACACACCCTGGCCGGTTTGGCTCAGCGGTTAGAGCGTCGGACCGCAGACCAGAGAGTCCCGGGTTCAGTTCCCGCTAAGGGCACGTACCTCGGTTGTCGGTTGTCCCTGGCCCTGGTTGGGGTCGTGTGGGTGACAGCCAGTCAATGTGTCTCTCTCACATCGATGTTTCTCTCTCTCTCTTCCCCCCTCTCTCCCTCCCACTCTATCTGAAGATAAATGAAAAAATGTCCTCGGGTGGGGATAAAAAAAAATTCAAAACACTTATTCACAAAGATGTACGTATGCCTGTGTTCATATACAATAGCCAAGACATGGAAACAAGCCGAGTGCCTTCCAACGGATGACTGGGGAAGGAAGGTGTGTTACGCGTATAATGGAACACTACTCAGCCATCAAAAAGATGAACAGTTGCCATTTGCTATAACATGCTTGGGTCTTGAGAGTATCCTGTTACATAAAATAAGTCAGATGGACAAGGACGGGAACAGTACAAGGATAAAAGGGGTCAAATACAAGGTGACAGAGGGGACAAGACTATGGATAGGGAGCAGACAGTGGAGTATGCAGATGTCACATTATAAAGTTGTACACCTGCCCCCAGATGATGAGGCTCAGTGGTTTGAGTGTCGTCCCATAGACTGAGAGGTCCCGGTGTGACTCCTGGTCAGGGCACGTGCCTGGGTTTCAGGCTCGATCCCCAGTGGGGGACGTGCAGGAGGCAGCTGATTGATGTTTCTCTCTTACATCAATGTTTCTATCTCTCTCTCCTTTCCTCTCTCTTTAAAAAAAAAAAAAATCAAGCCCTGGCCGGTTTGGTTCAGCAGTTAGAGCGTCGACCTGCAGTCCTGAGAGACCCGGGTTCGGTTCCCGCTGGGGGCACGTACCTCGGTTGCAGTTTGTCCCCGGCCCTGGTCGGTTGTGCGGGTGGCAGCCACTCGATGTGTCCCTTTCGCATCGATGTTTCTCTCTCTCTCTCTGTTCCTCTCTCTCCCTCCCACTCTACCTGAACAAAAAATGGAAAAATGTCCTCGGGTGAGGATAAAAAAAAAAAAAAATCAATAAAACATATTTTAAAGTTGTACACGTGACCCCGGCAGTGTGCTCGGTGGTTAGAGTGTCAGCCTGAGCACCGAAGGGTCTCAGGTTTGATTCCCGGTAGAGGGCACGTGCCCGTGTTGCACAATCCATTCCTGGCCCCCCTGGGGTCCTGCAGGAGGCAACCAGTCAATGTGTCCTTCTCACATCGATGTTTCTCCCCCCTCCCCCACCTCCTTTCACTCTGTCTAACAATCAGTGGGAAAACATTCTCCGGTGAGGATTTAAAAAAAAACAACCCTCCAGCTAAAGAAAAAGCTAGAGGGAGGGAGAGAGGAAGGAAGAGGGGAGGGAGGGAAGGAGGGAATCTCTGTGTGGCTGAGAATGGCTAAGTGTTAACAACGGCTGCAGTTGGCTAATAGGTACCCTCAGGGCTCCTAATATCATTCTCTCTACTTTATTTTTATTTTTTTATTTTATTTTTTTATCCTCACCCGAGGATATTTTTCCATTTTTTGTACAGATAGAGCGGGAGGGAGAGAGAGGAAGGGAGAGAGAGAGAGAAACATCGACGTGAAGGGACACATCGAGCGGCTGCCACCCGCACGACCAACCAGGGCCGGGGACAAACTGCAACCGAGGTACGTGCCCTTAGCGGGAACCGAACCCGGGTCTCTCAGGACCGCAGGCTGACGCTCTAACCGCTGAGCCAAACTGGCCAGGGCTCATTCTCTCTACTTTAGTGTGTTTGAAATTTTTCTGTAATAAAGAACAGAGGTGTCCTGGACGCTTCTTCGCAGACAGAGCTGCCGGGAAGTGTCATCCTAAGAGAAAAACGGTGCTGAGATGGCAGCCGGGCTGGACAGAGCCTCAAATGCCAATCTGCCCCAGACGCACCAGACACGGTGGGAAAACCCCACGCGGGGAATGGAATGATGGGACACGTGCAGCCAGTATTCACGGAGCACCTACTGTGTGGCGGGCATGGCATCAGCCCTTTCGACCATGACCATGACCCTACAAGGAGGTTCTATTAGTTTGCCCATTCTACTGATGAGGAAACAGGCACAGAAGGGGAAGAAGCCTGTTCTGGGTCATGTAAATAGGAATTGTAACCTGTACAGGGTGGGATGCCAACCCAGGCAGCCTGCCCCTGACCATCTCCAAGGGGGGCGATGGATGGGGTAAGCACACATCAGGGCCGAGCTAGCCCATCACTGGAAGCCACAAACCCAGGGAAAGGAGACAGAGAGAAATAAAAACCATTGTTACAGAAAATATTCCGAGCTGGCTTTGCATAGCCTGAATTTATGGGTGGAGGTTTATACCCACCGAATCACCCACCTCGTGGGTTAAATACGATAAAAAATGTTCAAGCACCTAGCAGAGTACCTGGCATACAGGAGGGGGCCAAGATATGACAGCCAATGCTATTATTATTAATCGATATTATGGTTACCGAAGGACTGAGAGCTTTCCCTGAACCAATTATTTTTTTCTAGTCCCTTTACGTCACCCTGAAGTCGGCCAGGCTGATGGTCAGGGTTACTTGCTGGTAGAGCCATATCAGTGGTTAAAATATTCAATGGAGAATGCCAATGTCGGCTGATGAGTGGATGAGCAGGGCATGGCATAGCTGTGCAGTGGAATATTATACAGGCGTAAAAAGGGAACAAAGTACTGATACAAGATACAATGTAGATGAAGCTCAAAAACATGTCCGGTTTGGCTCAGCGGTTAGAGCGTCGGCCTGCGGTCCAGAGAGACCCGGGTTCAGTTCCTACTAAGGGCACGTACCTCGGTTACAGTTTGTCCCCAGCTCTGGTTGGTCGTGCGGGTGGCAGCCACTCGATGTGTCCCTTTCACATCGATGTTTCTCTCTCTTTCTCCCTCCCTCCCACTCTATCTGAACAAAAAATGGAAAAATGTCCTCAGGTGAGGATTAAAAAAAAAAAAAAAACATGTGCTGAGTGAAAGAAGCCAGATACAAATGGTCACATATAGGATTCCATGCATATGACATGGCCAGGAAGGCAAATCTATAGAGACAGGGGTTGGGTCAGTGGTTGCCAGGGGCTGGGGGAGAACAGGGGGTGACAGGTTTCTTTTGCAGGTGCAAAAAATATCCTGGAACTAGCCAGAGAGGTGACAAATGCACAGCATCATGAATGTACCAAATGCCACCGAAGTATACACTTGAAAATGGCCAATTACATATTATGTAAATTGTATTCCATTCAAAAAAAGTGCCGTGTCATAAAGACAAGGAAGGGCTGAGGGACTTTCCCAGATAAAAGGGTACTAAAGAGCTAGGGCCATGTGACATCCTGAACGAGGGCCTGGAGGAGAAAAAGCAAATTCACTCTAAAGGGCATTATTTGGCCCTGGCCAGTTTGGCTCAGTGGTTAGAGCTTCGGCCTGCAGTCCAGAGAGGCCCGGGTTCGGTTCCCGCTAAGGGCACGTACCTCGGTTGCAGTTTGTCACGGGCCCTGGTTGGTCATGTGGGTGGCAGCCACTTCATGTGTCCCTGTCACGTCGATGTTTCTCTCTCTCTCTCTCTCTCTCTTCCTCTCTCTCCCTCCCACTCTATCTGAACAAACAGTGGAAAAAAATGTCCTCGGGTGAAGATAAAAACATTTTTTTAAAAAAGGGCATATTTGTTCAACTGAGCAAGTTTGAATGTGGTCAGTAGATGAGGTAATAGTACTGTGTGGGATGTTCAATTTCCTGACAGATAATTGCCCGGCCCTCACATGAGTGAATTTCCTCGTTTTTGAAAAACAGATAGATTTACTCTCCAATTATTCAGAAAAATAAAAGAGATAGATAGGGCGGGCAAATTTGGAGAATCAGGATAGAGTATTAAAGAGTCTTTTTGTATTATTCTTGCAATTTTTCTTTTCTTTCTTTTTTTTTTAAACCCTCACCAGAGGATATTTTTCCACTTATCTTCAGATAGAATGGGAGGGGGGAGAGAGACACACACACATGCATGTGAGAGAGACACATTGATTGGCTTCCTCCCGCAGGACCCCAACCAGGGCCGGGGACCAAACTGCAACTGAGGTACGTGCCTTTGACCAGAATCAAACCTGAGACTCTTTGGTCCATGGGCCGACGCTCTAACCACTCTAACCGTTGAGCCAAACCGGCCAGGGCATATTCTTGTCATCTTTCTATCAGTGTGAAAATACTTCAAAATAGAAAGTTAAAATTGTTGCACTATTTCCATTGATAAAGAGACCCTGCGCTGAGCCATCCACCCGGGCCATCTCCCCACCCTACCTCCAGCAGCCTGGCTTCCCGTTTTCTACTCTGGGACCCTCCCTGTCCAGGTCCCCAAGGTCCCATCCCGAAAGGGTTAACTACACACAGCAGGAGGCCCCAGACTCTGCTGGGGGGTGGGGGTGGGGGGCCAGGGCTCTGCAGGTTGTTGACTCATGTGAACGTCCACAGAAGGCCACCTTTCCCTCGGTTGGTTTCACAAGCCATCTGCTTGCCATCCTCAGCACTGAATGAGTCAGACCCCAATGAGAGAGCTTCCCCATGCCCACACTCGTCATTGCCTCTCTCCTCAGCTGAAAAAGTTCACTGGGCTCTCCCCTCTCCTGAATGCGGAGAAAATATGCTGATTCAAACACTCTGCGGTTTCCATGCAGGACCTGGCTTGCAAAGTTTAGCCAATGATAGCATCACTAGAAACTGGATATAACTGAAATGTTCAGCAACAGGTGACTAGGCTCAATTAGTGATGGCTCACCCAGGCAACAAAATATTACGCAACAACCACAAAGAAGGATGAAGTTATGCACTGATGTGGAAAGAACTCATCTCAGTGAAATAGAAAAAGCAAGGACCAGAGCTACCAACAAAAGAGGAAACTAACTCCCTCCCTCTCCACCCCTTCATTGTTCTCTGCCTCTCCCCCTTACCCCCTTTATCTCTATCATTCTGTTGATCTGTGAGTGTGTGTGCACATGCTCATGTGTGCACGTGCTCATGTGTGCACATGCTCATGTGTGCACGTGCTCATGTGTGCGCGGTCTGGCGCCAGAAGCAGGCATAGGACACCTGTAACAGGTCCCCCTGGGACAGGGCAGTAGGGCTGGGGCAGGCCTCTGAAGGAAGCTGGGCATCATGTATGTTTTGATTGTTTTTCTTTTCTGTTTTGCATTTATCTTCAGATAGAGCAGGAGAAGGGGGAGAGAGAGAGAAACATCGATGTGAGAGAGACACATCAACTGGTCGCCACCCACACAACCCAACCAGGGCCAGGGCCAAACTGCAACCGAGGCACGTGCCCTTAGCGGGAACCGAACCCGGGATTCTCCGGTCCGCGGGCTGACGCTCTAACCGCTGAGCCAGACTGGCCAGGGCTTGATTGTTTTTCTTGTACGTAGAACCATACTGGTGAATGCACTGCCCATTCCTAAACATGGATCTTATATAGAATCTATAAAAGGATTCATGGGTCTGCATTCTAGGAGTTTTGGCAGATTCTAATAGTTCTTCATCGAACACATATTAAGTGGCTGGGGGGATGCTTCCTGTCATACCTGGCAAGAGGTTACTGTCCGCAAGGAGAGAGAAACCAACAACCGGATGAGACCCGGGAGTGTTCAACAGAGAGGCCCAGCCTGGGGAACCAAACCACAGCCCCGCCCACAGACCTTTCTGCGGAGACCGCAGGTGATGGATGTGCTCCAGCGGGTGCTCCCCAGGTGGTAGCCTCCTATGTGTCGCTGTGGAGCGTGTGAAATGTGCCTGTGCGTCCCAGAGCTGAACTTTTAACTTAGTTGTTTTATTATTATTTTTTCCTTTATTGATTTGAGAGAGGGAGGAAGTGAGAGGGAGAGAGAGATGGAAACATCGATGAGAGAGAACATCCATTGGCTACCTCCTGCACGCCCCCTACTGGATATCGGGCCCACAACCTGACCGGGAATCAAACCTGCGACCTCTTGGTGCATGGGTCGATGCTCAACCACTGAGCCACACCAGCCGGACATAATTTAGTTGTTTTAATTAAATGTCAATAGCTGCCTGTGGCCTTTGGCTACTGTACAGATCAGCGCAGGCCTGGGGGCCCCGAGGGCATCCCTAAGAGCCCAGCACTGTTCTGAGCTCTTTCCAGGTGTGAGTCCATCCATTAACTAATCATAGTATATATGTCACAACAACCACAAGGGCAAAGTACTGTTATTGTGCCTAAATTCCCAAGTGCATTTTTTTGTTGTTATTCTTAATCCTCACTCGAGGATATTTTCCCACTAGTTTCTAGATAGAATGGAAGGAAGGGAGGGACGACAGAGAGAGAAAGAAACATCAACGTGAGAGAGACCCATCGATTGGTTGCCTCCCATGAGACCCCAACTGGGGCCAGGGCCGGAACCTGCAACCCAGGTACGTGCCCTTGACCGGGAACCAAACCACCAAATCCTTTGGTCCTGGGCCAGTCCTTGGGCCGACACTCTAACCATTGAGCCAAACCAGCCAGGCCCTCAGGCCCGTGTTAAGAGCCTTTGTTGCGTGGAGAAAGGGCTTCAGGACAGAAGACGGAAGAAGAGGAGATTGTGCAGGTGAGGCGGGGGGCGGCGGGGGCTTGCTCTAGGGGGGCAGCAGTGTGGAGACACGAGTGGACTGGAGGACAGGGTGAAGGAGGGGACACGGTACTACTCATGAGAATCATCAAGCTCTGTTCTAAGCCCTTTTCACGGATCATCTCATCTAATCCACAGGTCAACCCCATGAGGGTTGTTGCTATTGCAACACCCATTTCACCGATGAGAAAACGAAGGTGACAGTTAGCAGGTGGTAGAGAACTTCTACGAGTCGAACTCCAGAACTTTCTCTGAGCAGCTACCAAGCCTAAAGTGCGGTGGGAGCATGGGGCATGTGTTCAAGGCAAAAAGACATAGGTCGGCCCTGGCCGGTTTGGCTCAACAGTTAGAGCGTTGGCCTGCGGTCCAGAGAGACCCAGGTTCGGTTCCTGCTAAGGGCACGGACCTCGGTTGTGCTTTGTCCCCGGCCCTGTTTGGGTCCTGCGAGTGGCAACCACTCGATGTGTCCCTTTCACGTCGATGTTTCTCTCTCTCTCTCCCTCCCACTCTATCTGAACAAAAAATGGAAAAATGTCATCCGGTGAGGATAAAAAAAAAAAGCCATAGTTCGGAGGGAGGGACTCTGCTACACACGAAAAAAATGAAAGGTCAGTGTGGCTGGCAGGTAGCCAAGATGAGGCTGGAAGATCCACAGATACCATGTTAAAGAATTTGTATTTTGCCAGAAAGTGTGGCTCAGTGGACTGAGCATCGCCCCAAGGACTGAGAGGTCCTGGTTCAATTCCCGGTCAGGGCACAAGCCTGGGTTGTGGGCTCGGTCCCCAGTGGGGGACCTGTAGGAGGCAGCTGATCGATGTTTCTCTCACATCGATGTTTCTATATCTCTCTCCCTTCCTCTCGCTCTCTTAAAAAAAAAAAAAATCAATAAAAACACATTTTTAAAAAAGAGTTTGCGCCCTGGCCGGTTTGGCTCAGCGGTTAGAGCGTCAGCCTGCGGTCCACAGAGACCCGGGTTCGGTTCCCGCTAGGGGCGTGTACCTTGGCTGCAGTTTGTCCCCGTCCCTGGTTGGGTCATATGGGTGGCGGCCGCTCGATGTGTCCCTTTCACATCGATATTTCTCTCTCTTCCTCTCTCTCCTTCCCGCTCTATCTGAATAAAAAATGGAAAAATGTCCTCGGGTGAGGATAAAAAAAAACAAAACACATTTTTAAAAAAGAGTTTGTAGCCCTGGCTGGTTTGGCTCAGTGGTTGGAGCATCGGCCTGCGGACCAGAGATCCCAGGTTCAGTTCCCGCTAGGCCCTAGTGGCTAGGGGCATGTACCAAAAATAATAATAATAATAAAATAGCAAACTTTAAAAAAAAAAAAAAGAGTTTGTATTTTATCGTAGGGGTAATGGGGAGCCCTGGATGGTCTTTGAGCTGCAGAGGGACTCGGTTAGGGTTCGGTTTAGAAAGATCCCTCTGCTGCTGTGAGTGAGACTAGAGGCTGGAGGACTAGAGAGGAGGCTGGAGCAGGGATCCAGGCCAGTGGAGACGGGGGCTAGGATCAGGGTGTTGGCCCAGAAGAGAAGAAAAAGTGGAAAGATTTAAGAGCACAGAGGAGGCAGGACTTGGCCTCCGTCCTTGAACACCTGTGGGCTGTTTCTGGAAGGATCCACCACAAACTGGTGGCCACAGTTTCCTGGGGTGGGGGTGGGGCCGTGACAGGCAGGGCGAGGGTCTTCTCACTTCATACCCTCTGGTGTTTGGGACTATTTTCTAGAAAGAAAAAGAAGTTGAAGCTAACGGTGAGTCCGATTCTGAAGTTCTGTTGGCCCAAGCCAGGTCTCAAACGTGGAATGAGGGGGGTGAAGCAATGCCAGTCCCCCCCCCCTGGGTCCAGCCATGGTGCTCTCCCGTTTCCCCTTTCCCCCAGATGAAGCAAGAAGAGACCCTTGAGCATGCCAGGTGCTAGATCACAGCCCTGCCTCAGCCGGACCGCCCCGGGCCTCGGGGAGCGCGTGCCTGGATGTGGTCTCCCTCCGACACTCACAGACCAAGGGACAGCCTGGCTCTGCCAACAGCCAGGGAAGGACCCAGGCTCTCAGGACAAAGGTCTCCCTGTCTGGGGGGTTCTTACTAAATGCTATTCTTGCTAAATAAATGTTACAATGCAACACAGTTATTTTGCAGACTGGCCCTAAACCGGATGAGTTTGACAGGAACCTAACCTGTTAAGTGTAGCCAGTTGCAAAGAAGAAATCAACATGTAATTGACCCAATAGTGTATATAAGCAGCGGCTCAGCCTTCCTTCCACAGGCAAAGCTTCCGATGTGAATTTCCTCTTCTCCTTTGCTTTAAGTAAAGACAACTATCTTGCAGCAACCAGGACCGGTTCTTGAATAGATCACCCCAAGTGGTGAACCTACTCCGTCCAGTAACAGGGCCATCTCTGCTCCTGCCTCGGTTTCCCTGCCTCTACCATTTAGAACACCTGAACATCCAGGTCAGTAACAACCATTCTTCCAAACTGGCTCTTTCCAGCCTCCCTACCTGTGCCCCTGCCGTTCCTGCTGCCCAGGGGCCTTTCGTGGCCCCTGCACTTGAGGAAGAAAGTCACCTTCGGAGACCCAAGGCACAAATGTCCTGCCCTGGGGAACGTCTGGGTCCCAGCCCGGTGCTTGCAGTGGCTCCTTGACAATCTTACTCCTTAGCGTGTCCCAGCCCGGGAGTGGCAGAGTCTGAGCTGAGGGCGAGGGGAGGTCAGGGGGCAGATGGAGACAGGGAGTGAGGGAGAGTCAGGTGGCACCAGAAAAGAGAGCCTCCCTGGCCGGTGTGGCTCAGCAGTTCAAGCCTAGGCCCATGGACCAAAGGGTCTCGGGTTCAATTCCCGGTTAAGGGCACGTACCTAGGTTGCAGGTTCAATCCCCTCTGGGGTTGGGGGTCGTTTGGGAGGCAGCGAGTCATATGTCTCTCTCATATGGATGTTGCTCTCTCACTCTCTCCCTCCCTCCCTTCCATACTATCTAAAAATCAATGGAAGAATATCCTAGGGTGAGGATTAACCCCCCTCCCCCAAAAAAGGAGAGAGCGCAAAACTTCTGGTATCCATTCCCCTTCTAGACTCACCATGTTCAGGTCTCCCAAGTTCTCCTTTGATTGAAGGTCCTCTCGCCTGAGGGCTGTGGTTTTTAAAGCCCAAAAGGAGGGGGCAGATACTCAGGGAGGAAATGACCCGTCTTTCTCCCCTAAGGTTCTTATTGGTCTGCACACTGTGTTCCCTGGCTGGGGCTCCTTCTATGGGGCAGAGAGAGGGGAGTCAGAGGAAGAAGGTGGGGGCTCAGAACACTGAGGAAGTTCCCTCCTGTCCAAGGAGGGAGGAAGCCGGAGAAAGAGATGGCCGCTCTGCATACGTGTGGCCTTGGTTTCCCCACTTTTTTTTTTTTTTTATCCTCACCGGAGGATATTTTTCCATTTTTTATTCAGGTAGAGTGGGAGGGAGAGAGAGAGAGAAACATCGACGTGAAAAGGACACCTCGAGTGGCCGCCACCCGCACGACCAACCAGGGCCGGGGACAAACCGCTACCGAGGTACGCGCCCCTAGCGGGAACCGAACCCGGGTCTCTCGGAACCGCTGAGCCAAATCGGCCAGGGCTGATTTCCCCATTTGAGACCATCTCTCTCTCTCTCCTAAAGTTCAGGGGTCTATCTGGCTGAAACTCCCCTGGGGTCCTGGGAAGTGGGGATGGTGAGCCCCAGTCTCCCAGCCAGGTTGCTTGGATGCCCAAAGATTCAAAGCAGGTGTGTGGGGGTGGCCCAGTGCTTGGGGACTGTTAAATCTTCTTCCCCAGGCCCTAACCATCCCTTCCAGCCTCCTGTGGAGCCTGGGTTGAGGAAGGAGTCTAGGTTAGTGTCCGATTGCTGCTGTGACAAGCTGAGTGGCTTAAAATAACAGAAATGCACCCTCTCCCAGGCTGTGTGTCTTCTGTTTGCCCTCTTGGGAAGTTTCCACTGCCAGAGGACAAAGCCTGGCTAACCTGCTGGAGGATGAGAGACTGCACCAACTACTCCTACCGCTCCCGGCTGAGAGCGGGTCAACTCCCAGAAGGAGCCCACCCACCACCCAGCTGACTGCAGATGCTTGGGTGAGCTCATCCAAGGCCGAGAACCATCCAGCTGACCTGTAGACTTGTGAGCAACAACAAAACATATTGCTTTAAGCCATTAATATTTAGGGATAGTTGTTACCCAGCTGCCTTAGTCCGTTTGAGCTGCTATAACAAATTACGGGGGGCGGGGGAGCTTAAAGCTTGCAATGCAAAGATACATAGCCCTTAAAACCCCAATCAGCTCAGGCTAGCTGAGTTGCCTGCTTGTGCTTTATGCCAAGTGTATTCTTTTTTTTTTTAATCCTCACCCGAGGACATTTTTCCATTTTTGCTCAGATAGAGTAGGAGGGAGAGAGAGAGAGAGAGAAGCATCAATGTGCGAGAGACACATCAACTGGTTGTCTCCTGCACGACCCCAACCAGAACTGGGGATCGAACCTACAACCCAGGTATGTGCCCTTGACTGGGAATCAAACGCAAGACCCTTTGGTTCATGGACCAATGTTTTAACCACTGAGTTACACCGGCCAGGGCTCCAAGTGTATTCTTTTTCTTTTGTCCTCACCTGAGGACATTTTTGCATTTATCTTCAGCCAGAGTAGGAGGGAGGGAGGAAGAGAGAGAGAAACATCGACGTGAGAGAGACACATCTAGTGGTTGCCACCCACATGACCCCAACTGGGGCTGCGGACAAACCACAACCAAGGTAAGTGCCCTTAGTGGGAACCAAACCCAGGTCTCTCTGAACCGCAGGCTGACGCTCTAACCGCTGAACCAAACTGGCCAGGGCCCAAGTGTATTCTTAATAAATTTACTTGCTTTGCTTCAACGCTGCTGTCGGTCACTCGTCTGAAATCTTTCTTATGAGTGTGACAAGATCCAAGGAGTGGGGAGCCCCCTTCCAACACAGGAGGCTCTCCGCTAACGATGCTACGGCATGGATGACCCTTGAAAACATTATGCTGAGTGAAGTGAGCAGATGCAAAACGACAAATACTGTCTGGTTCTGTGTGTACGAGGTCAGCAGAATAGGCAAATTCGTAGAGGTGGAAAGGAAAGGTCACCAAGGGTTGGGAGGCAGGGAAAAGGGAAGTTACTGTTTAATGGCTACAGAGTTTCCATTTGGGAAGATGAAAAGTTTCTTGAGTCAAATAGGTAGTGAGGGTTGTGCAACAAGGTGAGTTTACTTAATGACACTGAACTGTACACTTAAAAATGGGTAAAATGGCCTGGCCAGTGTGGCTCAGTGGTTGAGCGTAGACCCAGGCACCAAGAGGTCACTGGTTCAATTCCTGGTCAGGGCACATGCCCAGGTTGTGGGCCCGATCCCCAGTGGGGAGCGTGCAGGAGGCGGCCATTCGATATTTCTATCTCTCTCTCCCTCGCCCTTCTTCTCTCTCTAGAACCACTAAAGAAAAAAAAATTTTTTTTAATGGTTAAAATGGTCAATTTTATGTTATGTATATTTTACCACAATAAAATAATTACCCAAAATGCAATCTATTTTTATGGTTGTTTTAAAATAAATTAATAAATAATGTTTAGCTTCTCGATCTTAATCGAACACTTAAATATTGATAAATATAACCCACCAACACAAAAACTATTTGGGGGTTCCTCAGTGATTTTCAAGGGTATAACAGAATCCTGAGACCAACGAGTTTGAGAACTGCTGCTCTATGTGCAGCTGAGGTGAGCCTGAGCGAGCTGCCACCGGTTATTTGTCCGCAAGGATCTATCTGCGAACTCCCAGGAATTAAATGGCAAAGGGAAAAAAAAAAAGTTTAAATGTCTTCTGGCCAAAGTAGACAGGCGACCTCTAGTGGAAATACGATGTATTGCTTGACAATGAAAAATTTCACGACTGAGTGTACACAGTCCGCTAAGATTCTAAAACGGAGGCAGAGACAGTCGTCTGAAATGAGGAATTTATTGCAGTATATTCACTCTAAACCCTGAGCCATGCCTCCTCTCATGCACATTCACACACAAACACAGAGACCCATCGTTACACACACACAATTGCATTCTCAGGCACACAGACACACACACACATCCAGTCTCTCACACAGACCCACATACACACACACACACACACACAAATACTGTCACATCCACAAAGAGGCACAGCCTCACACATGGACACACACTCACATGCACACACAGACACACTTTTAAATACACAGACACAACACACACAAAAACAGTACAGCATTAACAAAGGGGACTTAGTAATGGCCATCATTTTCTATTTTTAAAATACTGTAATGGAAAATGAGTTTCTGCCCAGAGCCATTAAATAAATGTTGAACAAATAATTAAGATGAATCTAGGTTTGGCAGCATGCCCAACTGGAGGTCCATAATCCCTCAGCTAAAGCCCTTGGAGACAGATGCATATCAGAACTCAGAGTCGTGCCCATTTTAGAAAGGTAATTCTGAATGAATGCCATATATTAATATGACACCCCCCAAGGGCTAAAGCAGTCCCCTCCCCATCAAACATGTGAATATATTTGCAGCAAAATGTGTGAAAATTCACACCAAAGAAGAAAAATAGAATATAAATAACTCAGTTGATTTACCACCATGAAACTGGGCCAAAATTACCCCCCACCCACCCAAAATATTTTTTGGTTGTCGGAGCTTTATGGTATTTGGAATTGCAGATAAAGGGTGTCGGGTTCTATTAGTGGGCCCCTCACTGGTGCATCTACATATATTTCTGCTCTAATTGTAAACCTATTCCAAGGGTGGGCATGGGAGAGAAACCACAGGATCCAGGACGGTGACTCTTCACTGCCCCCTCCTGGCAGTCCCAGTCCTTGCAGTTCGGCTGCAGAGTTGGGACATCTGGTAGCTTTGGCCAGATCCAGTGATGGGTCCTGATTGGTCTAAAGCTTCAGAGTAATCTCGCCTTCACTTACCAGTGAGTAGTTCAGGAACCCAAGTCTTTTTTTTTTTTTTTTTATCCTCACCCGAGGACATTTTCCCTTTTTTTTTTTTTTTTTTTTGATCAGGTAGAGTGGGAGGGAGAGAGAGGAACAGAGAGAGAGAGAGAAACATCGATGTGAAAGGAACACATCGAGTGGCTGCCACCCGCACGACCGACCAGGGCCGGGGACAAACTGCAACCGAGGTACATGCCCTTAGCGGGAACCGAACCCGGGTCTCTCAGGACCGCAGGCCGACGCTCTAACCGCTGAGCCAAACCAGCCAGGGCAGGAACCCAAGTCTTAACCAACCAGCTACCACAGGCATTGGTTCTTGGTTGGTCCAGGTTGATGGAATCAAATTGAAGGAAAGCCCCTTGGCTCACCAGCAGGGCCAAGCCTTATATCCAATGGAAGGAAATGAGTTCACAGGTGCCTGGATCTGGGGGCACCCGATGAAGCCACTTGGAGATGAGGTTCCTGTGCACAGAAAGAACTAGAAATAGTTTAGGCCTCTGAGGCGGCAGGAAAGGCGCTGCCCAGATCCTCCTGTAAGAGATCCTGCTGCTGCCCGGCTGGTGTGGCTCAGTGGTTGAGTGTTGTCCCAGGCACCAAGAGGTCACTGGTTCGATTCCCGGTCAGGGCACATGCCCAGGTTATGGACCCAATCCCCAGGGGGTGCATGTGGGAGGCTGCCAATCGATGTTCTCTCTCATCAATGTTTCTCTCTCTCTCTCTCTCCCTTCCTCTCTTTCTAAGAAAAAGAAAGAAAAAAAGAGAGATACTGCTGCTGCAGATACTGTGTGACAGCCCCACAGCGTTGGTGCCAAGGCCATGCCTCCCTTGGACTGCTCCAAATGACAAAACACGGTGGGTACTAGTGCCAGCCCATTACTGTCTGACCCAGGACTCCTCTGATGGGCAACCTTTGTTCAAGGACCACTGTCCCAGTAGACACCTTCCCCCCAGACTTTCTCAGAGCTATGTGACAGCCTGAGACTCCCTCACTCAGACCCTCCTTCCTGCTGACCTTTCAGAGATAGAGGGATGTGTGGTGGTGACGGTGGCCAACATTGTGAATCTACTCAGTGCCTCGAACTAAACACTTTAAAATGGTAACTTTTATGCTATGTGTATTTTACACACACACACAGATTTTTTTTTTTTTATCCTCACTGGAGGACATTTTTCCATTTTTTGTTCAGGTAGAGTGGGAGAGAGAGAGAGGAACAGAGAGAGAGAGAGAAACATCGATGTGAAAGGGACACATCGAGTGGCTGCCACCCGCACGACCAACCAGGGCCGGGGACAAACTGCAACCGAGGTACGCGCCCTTAGCGGGATCGAACCCGGGTCTCTCTGGACCGCAGGCCGACGCTCTAACCGCTGAGCCAAACCGGCCAGGGCACACACACAGATTTTGACCACCCACCATTCCCCTCTTTTTGAGGCACCACCCTGGTCTAGCCATCATGGTCCCTCACCTGAACCACGGACTCCCAGCTTCCACCCTCGCCTCCTACAGTTTATTCCCCACCTGGCAGGTGGAGGGCTTGTTAATAAATACATCGGCTCATATCCCTCCTTAGCTCAGAAGCCTCCCATAGCTCCACCGCACTCAGAGTAAAAGCCAAAGTTCTTGCCATGGTCCATGAGGTTCTGCACAGTCTCCCCCATTCTCTCCTACCACACTTCCTCCTGGTCTCCCCTTCACCCACTCAGATCCAGCCACACTGGCCTCTTAGCTGTTCTTCAAACAAGCCAAGCACCTGTAGCCTCAGGACCTTTGCACTTGCTGTTCCCACTTCCTAGAGCACTCTTCCCCACGCATGTTCCATCCTCACTTCTCCTAGGCTCCTTCCCAGTAGCCAGCAACTCCATCACTCCCTATCACCTTTACTGTGATTATTTTTCCCTTTTGCCTTGTCCCCCTACTCATATGTCTGCTCCATTGAGAGCAGGAAGTTTTTTCCTATTTTGTTCATTTCTGTGCCCCCAGTGCTTAAAGTAAGGCCTGGCACATAGTAAATGCTCAATGAGTATTTGTTAAATAAACAATTAAGACATAGCAACCAGTCTGGCCAGTGTGGCTCAGGGGTTGAGCATCAACCTATGCACCAGGAGGTCCTGGATTCGATTCCCGGTCGGGGCACAGCAAGGGGTGTGCAGGAGACAGCCAATCAATGTCTTCCTCATCATCGATGTTTCTATCTCTCTTCCTCTCCTTTCCTCTCTCTAAAATCAATTAAAAAAAATTTTTTTAAAGACATAGCAACCAAAAGAGAGGCTGAGAAATGGAGAGAAGGGAAAAGAGACGAAGAAAGGGGAGGGGATAGGGCAGTGGGAGGGGCTGAACCAGAAGAGAAATGAGAAAGGTGGGTGGGGCAGAAAAGGTAGAACAAGGTGGGTGTATTGGAGTAAGAGGGAGAGAAGTGAAGAGGGGAGAAGAAATAGAGCTGGGGTGGAGAGCAACAGAGATGATACAATGTGTCAGAGAGTAAGGGATGGAGAGAGAGACAATGCTGAGAAACATCAGAGAAAGACACAGAGACACACAAAGATTGAGAGACAGAGAAACAAACACAGACAGAGAGAAGGGCGGAGGGTGAGACACAGAGACAAGAAGCCAAGAGATGAGGAGTAATGGGGCTGGAATATAGAAACAGGGGAGCAGGGCAGTGGGGGCAGAGATGAACTGACCCTTTGCTGTGATCCAGAGCTCTGGGCTGACTTTGTATCTTGGGATCCAAGCTTTGGTTTTTAAAGCCCTGAGGGACAACGGCGGGTGCAGAGAAAGATTGTGATGCTGTTCTAAGATCACTAGCTTATTTAATCCCCAGGGAAACTCTATGAGATAAATACTACTGTCATCTTCACTTTACAAGACCAAAAAGGTTGAGAGACCTGCCCAAAGTCACACAGCTAGTGAGAGGAAAAGCTGGGATTTGAATCTGGACATCTGGGCCCCAAAGTCAGGGCCCCTAACCACCACCTACCCTAAATGTAAAGGGGTGCTGACTTCCTGAGTTCCCCTTCCTTCTGGAAACATCTTCTGGGAAATGGTACTGGGGGGGTAGATGGGAGAAGGAGGTAAAGAGAATGACTGACAGCCCTGGCCAGTTTGGCTCAGCAGTTGAGCGTTGGCCTGCAGACCAGAGAGTCCCTGGTTCCATTCCTGCTAGGGGCACGTATCACCGAGAGAGAGAGAGAGAGAGAGAGAGAGAGAGAGAGAGAGAGAGAGAGAGAATATGACTGACATTCCCAGACAGTCGGTATCCACGGATGTCCCAGTCTAGGAAGGAGGCTGAGCTTCACTCTCCTGGGAAAGTCTCCATTTCAAGGAGGCTGGACAGGAAAACCACTCCCTGCAGGTAGGGTTCAGTGCCCTGCCCAGAGCCAGGCTTCAGTCTTCTAGGTAGGAAAATGAACTCAACTACTTCTGACTCTTTTCAGCAGGACCTGAGATTCTCTGCCCTGGTTCAGCAGCAGCATTGCAGCCCAGGGAGGTTTTATGAATCTTCAAAGGCAGCACAGTGCGTGGAGAACTTCCTCTGTGACTTCCAGGGGGGCAGGAAAGCCCCCCCACCGCTGCTGTCCACCTTCATCTCTCAGACCCCAGGAAGAAGGCATCATTCCCTCCCAGCAGCATCCTGACGTCTCAGTGACTTAGCCTCTGTCCCGACATTGTAATTATACTGAGCACTCATCTCAGGAGCCCAGTTCTTGCTTCTGGCTCTCCTGTCTCCTGTGCTGTGACAGGAGCGCAGACCCTCTGCTTCTTACCAAAGGCACTTGTCCTCTGCCACGAGATACAGAAAACTGTGAAGTCCTTCACAGTGTCTGACCTTCAACTGCCCTGGTGCAGATAAGCCTCTTTTTCCCAACCCCAAAACTACATGATGAGAATGGGAAAAAAAGGAACCCCCTAGGGAAGGGAAAAACACACCCAGCCCACCCCACCAAGGCAAGAGAGACAAAGATCACAAAGTCGAGAGCGAGGGGCCTCTGCAGACAACAAGACAAACAGCACGAGACAGTTGGGTCTGGAGTTTATTGCAGGTGGACGAAAGGACACCAAGAGTCAGAGAGGAGGAGGGCTGTGGGCTCTGTGCTCCAAACCCTACGGAGGGAGGGCCAGGAGACAGCGGTCAGGGTGTGGTCTGCCGGATGGTGGAAGACCCGGCCTGGTCCGGGAGGAGCTGCGAAGGGCGAGGCCCCGAGCCAGCTCCCCCTCACCCTCTCCATTCTTCAGGATGACAGCTCCAGAGACGCCAGGCGATGTCATGAATAAAACGGAATCCTGGCCCAGCCGGGAATGAGCATCCACGGCGGGTGTGCGGCCTCTGCAGTGCCAGCAGTCCAGCTTTGGGGTGCAAAGAATGGTTACCTCGGTCCTCGCCCCCCCGCTGCCTCTGCTGTCTCTCCCAGCATCTGGTGATCCGGGCGGCTGGGGTCGCTGTGGCGGCGGCGGCGGCTGCGTGGCAGCTCGAGCTGGGGTCGCGGTCCGCCGGGGGCTCCCAGGAGGCAGGACACCGAGGCAGCGGCGGGCGCCGGGACCGGCGGCGCGCCCGGGTGGGCAGCGCATGGGAGGAACGGCGCGCTCGGCGGCGGGCCAGCGGGGACCGCGGGGGGCCGCGCGGGGACCCAGATGAGACCGTAGTAGACGGCGAGCAGCACCGCGGCCAGCGAGACGCAGAGGAAGTAGGCGCAGACGGGAGCCAGGCGCAGCCACCGACCCCGCGGGCCTTCACTCAGCCCGGTGCCACCCGGGCTCTCGCCACCACCGCCCACGCAGCTCGTGCCCCGCATCTCCGCAGCCCACTCGCCCGCACAGGCCCCGCCCCCGCGCCCTAGGTCCCGCCCCTCCGGAGGACCGCCTCTGCGCTCCGAATCTCCCCGGTCCAACCTCGCCCGCGCCAGCATGGCCACGCCCCCGAGGGAACGGGCCTTCTCCGCCTTCTAGCCCCACCCCCAGCCTCCCGCCAACCATTATCAAGTTAAGCCCTAATCAGGGCTCTGGCCCCGCCCCAGGAAAGCAATACGGTCTTTACAGAGGCAGGTCCCGGCCCAGACGACTCCTACCAGGCTTCGGAGTTATACCCACGCCTCCAAAGTGTGGGGCGTTTAACTCCTTCGTCCTATTCTTGAGGCCTCCTTCCCGCGCCCTAACCCCGGCCCCTTTCGGGACTTAGTTTTCTTCCAAGTATCTGAGCCACCCCCTCGAACACCTCCCCCTTGCCCGGCTCAGGCTTCGCAAGCCCCGCCCCAGCTCCCGACTGATTTGTCTGAATTGACTATACCCCACCATTGGATTTCGTCCTCTTCTGCCCCTGGCTTCACCGCTCTATAGTCCAGGCTCCATCCCTTTCCTCCTTCACACTCTACTCGTTCCAGCACCGAACTCCAACCACCACTACCTCGGTCGGTGGCTGCGCCCCACACCAGTGTTGGCAACTCCCTTCTAAACCGGCTCTCGTGACCCCACCCCATCCTAACCTGTCCCACGTTCTAACTCCACCCACCGGAATCCTGGCCCGCCCAGAAATCCTAAAACCACGCTCCTCGCGGGACCCTCCTTCTCCCAGAAGCTGCAGCTCCACCCCACACCCTAGTCACGCCCCTCCCCTAGCTCCTCCTCCACCACCCTCACTTTCTCCGTCAGCCACGGGGTCCAGAGTGGGCTCCAGGGAGGAGAGAGCGCAACCTAACCCCCTCCTGTCGCCCCCTCCCCACCAAGGCGGGGAATTCAGTGCCCTCCCAGCAGCGTCTTCAGGAATTCGGGGAGGCCTGCGGGAAGGGGGGAGGGAAAATGTATCAGGGGGATGGAGGAAGGAAGACCCCTTCCTCCCGCCTCTTCCGCCCCAGAAAAGCCTGCCAAGCACCGCAGCCCAGTCTGCCCCCGCCAGAAACACAGTTCAAAGGTTAGCGAAAGCGCTGCGTTTAATAGACAACTGGTGGCCTAGTAATTCAAGTCCTTCGGAAGAGTCACCGGCTGGTTGCCTTGGATGCAATCTCCTGGAGGCGGGGAAACTCGTCCCGGAGACTCGCACCTACCCCCTATGGCCTCCACAGGTGGGTAACTCGGGGGCATCTCAGCCACCCAGGTGCCACGGCGCGCCCCCATCTGTGCAACTGGACTATCGCCCTGCCTCCTCCCCCCTTACATTTAACCCTCTCCTGGCTGGAGCGTGGCAGAAGCAAAGGACAGAGGAGCGAGGCTGCGGGAAGTTAGTGCAGAGTCGGCGGGCGCGGTCAGCGGGCGGCCCCTGGTGGTGGGGCGGCCGCCACCACCTTGCAGAAACGCACCCTCTGGAAGTCGGTGATCTCCGCAGTCTCCTGGCCCTCGGGGCCCGCCTCTGGGGAGAAAAGGCGCGGTCAGCGGAGGGGGAACAGTGCCAGGACAACCCGGTCTAGGCCCGCCCCTCAGCTCGATTGAGCTTGGCTGCAGCCACCCCCGCGCTAAGTGGTTTAGGGGCCTCAGGCTCTGACCCTCAGAATGGACCCACGAAGCAGCAGAGCCGTTTACAACTGAGAAAATAAACTGGTATAACGAGATCACGGTCACTTGGCCAACACGTGGCCCAAAGACAAAGCACTAGGGCACCCAGGCCTCACCCACCACCCTAAACTGTCCTCTCCGATCCCAGCTCACCACCACGTCAAGGGCTTAAACCTACCTGTCGTGACCGCTCAGTGCACCTGCCCTTCCTTGCCCACCCCGAGTTCTAACCAGATCTTCCTTGGCTCCTCCCCCAAACCTTAATCCCACTCCTAGGGGGAGGTACCTGCTTCACAACCTCGCTTCCACCGGGTGGTAGGGAAACGTGGTTCGGCCTCTCGCTCCTACTCCGTTGGACCCAACGTTTTAATTGGGTCCGCATTTCTATTCTAATCTACCCACTCGGTTACACCTTAAAAATCTAATCCGGCTCACAGCCAAATCCATTATACTGCCCCTCTCCATTCTTTAATTAAAAATATATTTAAATTTCTAATCCTGCCCTTAGCCCCGCCTCTTTACTTTTAGACTATTTTCTAAAAACCCCTGCGGTCCACTTCTAAATCCTCATCCCATCATGGTTCCACCTCTTCACCCCAAGGCCCCTGCATACACTCAGTTCCTAGTAACTCGGGCCCAGTCCTTCCCTTAGCTCCACCCCCTGACCTTGGCTCCATTTCCAATGCCATCCCAGCATCTCTAACCTCACGCCCAGGTCCAAGCTGCTTCTCCACACACCCCAGCTCCACTCCATCCCATGCCTCCCCCAAACCCCCTACCCTCAGCCCCAGAGAAAGGAAGCAGCCACCTCCGGGGCCCATCAGCTCCCCCACCTGGAGCTGCCTCAGACCCCTCCTCTTCAGTTTCCTGGGTTCCTGGAAGGCTGGGCCTACTCTCCAGGGAGGCAGGGGCTGGCTGATCACCTCCTGGGGAAGGAGGAGGTCTAGTCAAGTCCCTCCCCCTCCAGGTGCCCCCCCCCCCACTCCAAGACAGAAGGACCTGAAGGAGTAAGGGGGATTCAAGGACACACCTGGGGAATGTCATTTGAATGTGACTGTTATTGAATGTGAACTCTTTATTGGGGAGGGCGCTCTGGAACAGTCCACAGGGGCTGCATCTGGGGTGAGCATCCCAGAGACGGGTATGGACAGCACACAGAGGGGCATGGACTGTCCTCCCTGGCCACCAGGGTGTTGGGGGCCACAGATTCCTGGGGCCCAGCCTCTTGAGGGTCCCCCCTACTCATGCATCCCTTGAACACACATACAAGCAGCCAACTTCATGCATTTTCAAAAGGCCAGGCCTCACCCGGAGAGAGGGCATCAGCCGGGTGGGTGGTCCGGGGAGAATTCAGCTCCATCTCTTCACCCCAGTCAGACACAGGCTGGTGGCCCCCAGGGGGTGAGAAGGGGCTGGAAGGTGAGGCGGGGGACTGGGGAAGTGGCAGGGGCTCCTCAGGGCTGGAGGGCTCTTTGTTGGCCTGGTCACTGCTGAGGCTCTCAGTGGGCTCAGGTTCTTGGGGTTGGTGGTCTTGGGCTGGATCTTCCTCTTCCTCCTCCTCCTCCTCCTCGTCATCAGCCTCTTCTTCCTCCTCAATCTCCTCGTCCTCACTCACATCTTCCCATTCCTCATCCTCCCCTTCGTCCTCCTCCCCTTCGTCCTCCTCCCCTTCGTCTTCCTCCCCCTTGTCCTCCTCCCCCTGATCCTCAGGAGGCTGGTGGGCAGGGGCTGGGGTTTCAGGCAGCTGTGGGGAACACAAGGCAGGTCGAAGAGAGGGTGGGGGCCCTGAGCAGCCCCTCACCACCTACCCAGAGACGACAGCCGGCCTTACCTGTGTGGGCGTCTCCTCAGGGGGAATGGGCTGTGGGGCCTCGGGGGCTGGGGACGCTGCCTCCTTCATCTCCCAGCGGTCATCATGGTCACTGGAGAGGTCAGAGGAAAGGGCTGTGAAGTCTGCGGGGCACAGGAGGAAGGGGCTTCCACCTCCCGCTCCTCCCCAGAGAAGAGGTACAAAATCTGACTTGGGGCCCTGGCCGGTTTGGCTCAGCGGTTAGAGCATTGGCCTAAGGTCTAGAGAGACCTGGGTTCGTTTCCTGCTAAGGGCACGTACCCGGTTCCAGTTTGTCCCCAGCCCTGGTTAGGTCGTACGGGTGGCAACCACTCGATGTGTCCCTTTCACATTGATGCTTTCTCTCTCTCTCTCTCCCTCCCTCCCTCCCCTCCTTCCCTCCCACTCTATCTGAACAAAATATCGAAAAATGTCCTCGGGTGAGGATAAAAAAATTTAAAAAAAAGCACTTTAAAAAAAAATTGACTTGGGGAAGAGAGGGGTTGCGGCATGTTGGTGCACTCAGGAGGAAATGGCGGGTAGGTCTTCAGGTGTCAGGGACAGACAGATAGAGGGGGGACCAGGTGGCAGAAGAGGAGATGGGTGGGACAGGAGGAGGGGCCATATGAATGTCAAGTGGAAAGACAGGCCCAACCTCCCAAACCAAGCACCTGACCCACAGATTGAAAAGTGACACACAGACCCACAAATATACAAGTCAGAAATCAACCGGGTACAGGGCCACACAGCCTGGCTAGGGAAAGGGTGTCCCCACCTGTAGGCACGGGGGGCTGCCTTAGCCTGGGGTCGGCTGCTCTTCCTCCTCCTGCGGCTGACCTCAGCTTTGTGCTGGGACAGGAACTCCCTGAAAGTGGGAGGTTTCGGGGGCCGGGCCCAGGCCTGGTCATCTGCAACAGAACCCAGGAGGAGTCAGGGATCAAGGGTAGGGGCATGGTGCAAAACAGTCCCACACCTGGCCCAGCCAACTGTCTCACCCCACCCAGGGACAACCACTCACCATAGCGGTGAGATGGGTCAAGGGCAGCAGCTGGGCCATCCTTGAACCTGGGGAAAGAGAAAAGGTGTGAGCAAGCAGCTGGGGGAACAGTGGGAACAAGAGGGGTGGGAAGAGATAAGAGGGAGAGATGGGGGCCAGGGTCAGAAAGCAAGATCATTGGAGGAGACATCGTCAACCAGAAGGGGGGTCACTGATTAGGAGGAGGACAGGATCAGGTGATGGACAAGAAGCAAATCTGACATCATGTGACAAATACAGAAAGAAAAAAATTAGTATTTGACCCCCAAGAACAAAAATTTTCAAAGTACATGATCCCTAGCTTCCTGTCTAGCCTCATTTCCTATTACTATCTCTCACCTTCCCAGCTAATCAGGTTCTCCCACCACGTGGAGCTCCTGCCTCAGGGCCTTTGCACCTGCTACTCCTGGGACACTCTTCTCCAGATTTTTTTTTTTAATTTTAATTTGACTTGAGAGAGACAGAAACATCGATCAGCTGTTCCACCCATTCATAAACTCATTGGTTCATTCATTCATTCATTCACTCATTCACTCACTCACTCATTCATGCATGCATGGTACGTGCCCCTAGCAGAAACCAAATCCGGGACAATCTGGTCCACAGGCAGACGCTCCAACCGCTGAGCCAAACCAGTCAGGGCTCATTCTTGTATGTGCCCTGACCAAGGATCAAACCCACAACCTAGGAGTATTGGGACAACACTCTAACAAACTGAGCTCCCCAGCCAGGGCTTCTCTGGATCTTTCAGTAGCCTGTTCTCTTCAGACCTCAGCCCAGAGGCCTTCCTAAATCCCCATTTAAATAATCATCTTGCCCTGGCTGGTTTGGCTCAGTGATTAGAGCATTGGCCTGCGGTCCAGAGAGACCCGGGTTCGATTCCCACTAAGGGCATGTACCTCGGTTGCAGTTTGTTCCTGGCTGGGTCGTGCAGGTGGCAACCACTCGATGTGTCCCTTTCATGTCGATGTTTCTCTCTCTCTCTCTCTCCCCCTCCCACTCTATCTGAACAAAAAATGGAAAAATGTTCTCGTGTGAGGATAAAAAAAAATAAAATAAAAATAAATAATCATCTTATTATATATATTATCTAAGTTTAAAACAACAGCCTCGCCCTGGCAGGTTTGGCTCAGCGGTTAGAGCGTCAGCCATCGGACTGAAGGGTTGTGTGTTCGATTCCCAGTCAGGGGCATGTACCTCAGTTGCAGGTTTGATCCCTGGCCCTGATCAACCTTGTGCAGGAGGCAACCAATCAATGTATCTCTCTCACATTGATGTTTCTCTCTCTCTGTCTCTCTCTCCCCCTCCGTTTCCACTCTACCTAAAAAAAAATCAACGGAAAAGTATCCTCGAGTGAGGATTAACAAAAAATAAAAATGAAAATAAAACAACAGCCTCCCCCCCTCTGCACACTCTGTGTCGTTACTCGTTAGACACAGTCATGGCCTGTCTTTCCCACTAGACTCTAAGTTCTATGAAGCCAGAGCATTTTACTCACTGCTGTGCCCCCATCACCTAGAACCTTCCATAACACACAGGAGGGACTCGAAAAGCAGCTGCTGACAAAGGCAGTGCACACGTTAGTGAGACTTGTTGCAGGCTGCTTTGGGGACACAAGAGAGAAATAATTACTTTCTCTTTCTTCACCCCTGAGAACATCTCCCCAAAAGCCCATCTGCCTACATGTTAGAAAGATCAGCAACAATATCTGCGCAAAATACAGGGTGGGGCAAAAGTAGATTTAGTTGGTCCTATGGAAAATAATACAATAATTAATAAGTAATGATATAAGAATAAATTCTGTTACACATACACACACCTGTAAACCTACTTTGCCCCTCCCTATAGTTCTCACACTTGCACAGCTTAGTTCACAATCCAAATATATTCTGACCACCAGGCACACAGAAAAGATCCCCGTTTTTCTCAAGCCAGTATCAACAATAAAACATCTAGGTGTGGCCCTGGGTGGGTGGCTCGGTTGGTTGGAACGTCATTCCCCCAAAAGGTGGTGGGTGGGATCCCCAGTCAAGGTGCATGCAGGAGGCAACCAATTGATGTTTCCCTCTCACATCGAAGTTTCCCTCCCTTTCTCTCTCTCTTTCTCAAATCAATTAAAAAACGTATCTTCGAGTGAAGATTAAAACCAAAGAAAACAAAAAAAAAAACTTCTGGGTGTGAAGTCTTCCAATGCAGCAAAGGACAGAAGATGGCGTAAAAACTACAACTGCTGATCTTAAGACTGCCGTTGTCGGCTCTTTCAGAAACTTCTCGGCCTTTGACATGGAAGCTAGTCTTCCTGTCAATGATGCAAAGATGCCTTCACTTGAAGTTTGACGGACTGGGTTTTTCCTGGACCCGAAAAGGGACAAAGTCAGACCTAAAGATAATAATGGCACTGGGCTAAGGGGTTTGGGTTGCTGGATACAAATTAGAGGGATGAAGGGAGAATACAAAGATCTAATCACTAGTAGCGATTCTTCCTGCCCTCCCGCATGAGAGGTTCCATCCACACCTTCAAGCATGGAGTAAGGCAGCACCAGCCACTACAGTGGGAATTTTACGTTCCCGCCCCAGAGATGCTGGGTCTGTTGACTAATAGAACGGGGAAGTATGTCCATCTCTCTCTTGTGCATCTGCCAAAGTCATGACCTGCTCCCCTCAGCCTGAACCCCAAAATGAACACACGTGGAGCGAAACTGAGTGCAACCTGTTTCAAGAAGCTAAGGCCTGTCGAGCCCACAGCTGAAAGATCAGCTGAAGCCAGCTGACCCGTGAACATGTGAGAAAGAAATACTTGTACATGCCACGGAGAGCTGGTGGTTACGCAGCATTGCTGCAGTGATTGCTAACTAATACACAGGGCGAGAAATCAGAGCCAAAGGAGACGGAAGCCAGGGCCCAGGTCAAGGAGCCAAACAGGGGCAGGCAGGGACGAGACTCACATCCCGTCGGTCTTCTCAGCATCCCACTCCCGCCGCCACTGGCCCGTGGGCTTGCGGTGTCTCTGCAGCCGCTCCTGGTCGATCCTCTCCCTCTCCTGCTTCCAACGCAGGTACTCCGACCGCTCCCGGCCCGTCATGGAGAGTGTCATGTCACTGGCACCGCCCAGGCCAGCCCGGCGGCCCTGACCCACAGCAAGACGGGCAGTCAGGGCCCCGTTCCACTACCCACCCCACTCTGCCCCATGTCCTCCAGGCTCAGAGGCAGAGCCACCTGCTGCAGGTCACCCAGGAGGCGACAGGGCAGTGATCAGAACCAGGTCTGCTCATGTGGCACCTCCTCGGAGAGCCCATCCCACATCTCTCTGGCTTCTCGCCCTGCTGGAATTTTCTTCCCAACATCTAGCATTACCTGGCATCTCGTTATACATCCAGTCACTTAGCTCGCAGCAGAATAAACTTCATTAGGGCAGGGGCTTTGCCTTGTTAAACCCTCAGCCCAGCACCTAGGACAGGGCCCCGCACCCAGCTGGGCAGTCATTACTAGTATTAGGAATGAGAGGACATGTCAAAAGGAAGCAGTGTGGTCCTGGCACCAGAAGGGCACATCACTTGGGGTGAAAGCCTGAGATGCTGCCCATCCTGTTCTGTCTCCCTCACTGCTGTGCCTGGTGCTCAGCACACACCCAGGAACACTTGCTGCCGAGAGTCTGGCTGCAGAATGGCACGTGGCCCAGCGCACCCCGGCTGCCGGCACCCACCTGCCGCTCCTGCTCCAGGCCACAGCGCACCCGCTCGAAGTCCGGACCCCCCCAGTTGCGCCCATGCCGGCGGCTGCCTTCCCGGCGGTCCCGCTCGGGCTCCTCCAGGGGCCCGCTGCGCCGCCGGGGGTCGTCCAGGAAGTTCCGAACTGGGTTGGGCTCCAGCACGCCTTCCTGCGGGCACAGGGATGAGGTGCTGGCAGGTTCACCCAGCCCGGGCAGTGTGCCCCGCGTGGGGAACACCCTGGCACTGACCCGCTGGTTGCGCTCATACTCCGCAATCTTCTCCATCTCTTCGTTCATCTTCTCGATGTTCTGCCTGCGCCGCTCCTCCCACTCCTGCGTGGACGGACACCGGGGTCAGGAAGAACCACTCAGCTCTTCTGTGCTAAGAGTTACCGTGACGGGCCTGAGTGTGTCCTCTAAAGGCCAGCCCCTGGCTGGTGTCTGGGGACTTGGCTCCTGCGTGTTCCCCATCGACAGTCAATTGGTAAGGGGGACTCGCTGAGCCTCGATTTGTGCCATCAACATGGTGTGCTGAACACCATACTGGGGTCGGGATCTGGATATATACCAAGTCGAGGGGACCTACATGGCCAGTCCCCAATAACCCTGGGCAGCAGGTCTCTACTGAGCCCCTGGTAGAAGACCCTTCACGTGTGTTGTCACAATCAGTGCTTGAGGAATTGAGTGTAGCTGTGTGACCCCAATGGGTGAGCTGGTCTCCAAACTTCAGCCCCTGCGCCTTTCCCCTTTGCTGATTTTGCTTTGAATTCTTTCACTATAATAAATTTTAGCCAAGGATCTTTCTAGCAAAACACTGAACCTGGGATAGGGGTCGGGGACCTGGATACACCATGGTCACTACAGTAATAATGACAGTAATAACAGTAATAAGTTGGCAGATGGCTTGGTGACCCCCCCATGATCCGTTCCCCGGTTCCTCCATGGTAAGAGAATTTTACACAAGCACGTGGCCAAACTGCTAAAGATGACACCTTCATTCCCAGGGCTTGGCATACAAGAAAGAAACTTCTACTTGACTTAAGTGAGGTCTTTTTGTTAGAGCAGCTTAGCGTGTGCAAATAATAAACATCCCTAAGTCACGTTCACTGGGCACTTACTCTGAGGGTTTCAATGCCCGATGTCACAGAACATGTATGATAACCTTTAAAGCACATATTCTTCCCACCTAAGAGAGAGAACCAAGCCCAGCCAGTGTGGTTCAGTGGACTGAGCGTCGTCCAATGGACTGAGAGATCCCAGTTCAATTCCGGGTAAGGGCACATGCCTGGGTTGCAGGCTCGATCCCCAGTGGGGAGCGTGCAGGAGGCACCGATCAAGTTCTCTCTCTCATGTCGATGTTTCTCTCTCTCTCTCTTCCTCTCTCTCAAATAATTAATAAAAACATTAAAAAAGAGAACTCAGAAGCTTCCAGAGGGGAAGCGAGCTGCCAAAGGACAGGGAACAAATAGAATCAGGGTGACCCCAAGTCCATGGTGGGATCTGAGCCACTATGCTAGGCAGCCTCCCATCCGGCTAACCTGAGTGTCAGGGCAGTGGCAGTATTTACAGTAACAACATCACTGCTCGCCACAGACAAATCCAGGGAGTGAGAGGCAGAGAGAGAGCAAGCACATGCACTGGACAGAGCCAGACACACAGAGTCCACAGAGACACGCAGACAGTGCCAGTAAGAGAAGAAAGAGACGGGAGAGGGAGGGCAGGTGGGCAAGTACACACCAGAAGGCAGCAAAGAAGAGGAAACCGGAAGAGACGGAGAGGACACGCAGGCACTGGTCAGGAGTAGGAGAGAGAAAGAGCCGGGTGGAGGGGCTGAGAGAGACAGACACACAGAAAGATGGACAAATGGGCAAACGGGCCATCTGAGAGTAGGAAGAGAGAAATGACAACAGAGAGCCTCAGCGAGAGGCCTGCACCCCTCCCCTGCTTCTACCTTGGATTTTCGGTCAGCAGGTGAGACATCTCCAGCTCCAGAGAGATGAGGGGACCCTCTGCCCCGGCCCCTCCGGCCGCGGCCCCCAGCTCCTCCTCGAGGCTGCTCCCCAGGACTGTCCTCCCAGCTGCGGGATGCCCGGCTCATGCCTGCCCTGCCTCCCTGCTGGGGGGGAGTCCGGCCTCCCCTGCTGGTCCCTGGGGGCCGAGGGGTCCCGGGAGACCTCCGGGAAGGGCCCTGGTTCTTCTCCTGAAAGGGGGGAAGAGGAAACATCCAGTCACTGGGGCAGGGAGACTGGGACAGCCCAGGATCAGGTACCAGGATGGAGGCCACCCACAGGTCTGGGGCAGCTGAGAGGCCTCTCAGGTCTCAGCTCTCTCCCCTCCCCTGATTTCCAGTGTCCAACCTGGTGTGGGGCTCACCACATCAACTGCCACATTCTCCTTCTCCAGGGAGCGGCCCTTCCGGGGAGCTGTCACAGCTACGCCCTCAAGTTCAGCTTTTTTACGATCCTCCTCAATCTCCTAGGAACAAACAGCAGCAGTAGGTGAGTGCCGGGTCCTGTGCACGGCTGGACTCCCAAATCCCCCTGAATTTCTCCCAAGTCTAGCCCCAGCCCAGGGCGCTCTCCTGAGCTCTAGGCAAGAAAGCTGGTCACCTTAGCATCTTCCCCCAAACTTGCAGCACGCTGCTCCCCTGCTCAGACCCTCCTGTGGTACCTTTCTCTGAGTCAGAGCCACAGGCCCCCCCACAGCCCATGGTCTGACATGCTTACCACCCTGACCTCATCTCCCACCCTGTCCCCGTCACTCACGCTAGCCTCCTCACTGCTCCTCGAACATACAAGGCTCCGACCTGCCTCAGGGCCTTTGTACCCGCTGTTTCCTGTCAGAAACACTCTTCCCTCAGAGATCCTTCTCCCTCCCTCCTTCAGGTCTCTGCTCAAATGTTCCCTCTAAGGGAGGCCATCCCTGACCAGCTTATAGAAACCAGCTTCCCTGACATTCTCCTGACCCTTCCCCTGTTCATACCTGGCATTATGCATATTTTGCCTACTGTCTGTCTTCCCCCGCAACAGAAGCTGCCTGAGGACAGGGACATCTGTCTGTTTTGGTCACTGATATATACCCCAAGCTTAGAACACTGCCTGGCACACAACAGAAATTCAATTTGCCTTTTTAATGAATGAATGAAGAATGAATAAATGAAACCTCATCCTCTTCCCAGGCCCCATCTCTGGGACAGCCCCACCAGTTACTCTGTCACCTTTGGCAGGGGCCTGAGCCTTGTCCTGGACTCTCCCTCTGTTCCCCACCTCCCACCACTGCCCATCAGTCACTGAGACCCTCCCAACAACCCTGTCCCAAGCCAAGCACCTCCTCTCTCCCTGAGGTCCCTGCCTCAGCTTCCTCCTGGGTCTCTAGTATCCAGTCTCCAGTATCACCTCCTCCCAACCACCATCAAACAGCAGCTAGAGGAGTCTTCCTAAAAAGTTATTCTGACCTGGTCCCACTTCTCTCAAAGCCTTCCATGGCTCCCCAGTGCCCTCAAGATAAAGTCCAAACTCTTAGCCTGGCCCCTGCTGACCCTCTAACTTTAAGCTCCAAGTTTTTACACAAACTATTTCCTCTGCTTGAAACATGTTCTGCTCCACTTTTCAACTGGTTATGTCTACTCACCCTTCAGGTCTCAGAATCCCCTCCTCCAGGAAGCCCTCCTTGATATCCTCCAGGCTGGGGAAGAGCCCTCACTGGGCTCCCAAAGACCCCTCAACTCCCCCATCCCAGCCTTGCCCACTCTGGGTCATCACTGACTGAACGCAGCTCTGTGCCCCCACTGGACTGTCACCCTGGAAGGGCAGGCCCAGGGCTGTCTCAGTCACAGCTGTTTCTCCAGTACCACTTAGCACAGGGCTGCTACAGTCAAGACCTTGGTGAATACTTGTGAATGAATGATGGAATGATAGCATGAAGGAAGGAAAGCCAGGCTAAGGCCTTTGGCTTTTAGCCTGAGAGTGAAGGGGAACCATGAAAAGGCTTTAAGGAAGGGAGAGGTGAGGGAAACTCACTGCTGGGAGGAGAGGGGGTGGGGTCTCCCAGGGCAGGGCTAGGGCACCTGGTAGCGCCGGATGAGGGCTTCATTCTTCCGCCGAAGAGCCTCGATCCTCTTGTCCAATTCAGCATCCTTCTCCTCTTTCGATTTCAGATCCAGTGTGGCTGACTGAGATAGAGAGACAGTAAGAAAAACCTATAACCGCCCTGGTCAGTTTGACTCAGCAGTTAGAGCATCGTCCTGCAGTCCAGAGAGACCTGGGTTCGGTTCCCCTAAGGGCACGTACCTTGGTTGCGGTTTCTCCCCGGCCCCATTGGGGTCGTGTGGGTGGCAACCAGTCAATGTGTCTCTCTCACATCAATGTTTCTCTCTCTCCCTCTCCCTCTCGCTCTATGCAAGAGTTTCCTCGGGTGAGAAGAAAAAAAAAAAAGCCACTGCTGTGGCTCAGTGGTTGAGCATCAACCCATGTACCAAGAGGATGCCAGTTTGATTCCTGGTCAGGACACATGCCCAGGGTGTGGGCCAAATCCCCAGTGGGGGATGTGCAGGAGGCAGCCAATCAATGTCTCTTTCATCGATATTTCTATCTCTCCCTCCCCTCCTCTAACATCAATAATTTTTTTTTTTTTAAAAAAAGGAAAGAAACCTATACCCACCCCAGTGCCATACAATCCAGGGTCTGAGTCTGGCACCTGGGCCTCCTCCTCCTCCCAAGCCCCCTGCTCCAAAGCTCAGATTCCGAATTTGCCATCTCACCATTCAACTGGCTGGGTGGGGCCAGCGTGCCAGCAAACCTTCCCTGCAGAAGCTGAGCACAGCACCAGGGGTTCCTGAGGGCAGAGGGGGTTCCTGAAGAAACAGAACTAAGGCCAGTGCTCCCAACCCCCAATCTGCTTCCTTACTCCCATCCTGGGTCCTACACACACACACACACACACACACACACACACACCTGCACCCCAAGAGAATCCTAGCCCTCACTCTCAAGTACTCCTCTTAAAATATCAGCCTGCCCCTTTTCTGGACAATTTTAGGATTCTGCCCCCTGTTAACATTTGCATCCACCATTTCCACGTAAACACTGGAGTCACACCCACCTTGGGAAAGTTCTGGCCTCACCTCACAACACGGCTTAACAAACCATCTAATACCGCTTCCCTCCAAACGAAAGTTCCCTAGTTCAGCTTCCACACCCGTGTGCAGAGAGTTTTAACCCGGGCCTCCATCTCAAGAGAGATCTGTCTAACATCCTCTCCCCCCAACCTGTACAAGGAAGTTTTTGGCCCACCTCCCTGTGCCCATTGTAATGCCGCTCACATCCCTGTGAACATACTAGATCCACTTCTTTCCCAGGAAAGTTTCAGAAACATCCCATAACCCCGCACTCTAAAACAGCTCGAACCCCACTCCCGGAGGCTGCCCCGACCCTCAGAGAACATTCTAAACCCACGCCTCTCACAGAGTTGTCCCAGCCGCGTCCCCACCATCCCGAGAAAAAACTGCAGCTGCCTCCCTGCAAAGATTCCGAAAACAGGCCCGGTACTCACTGGAGAGGCTTCCTGAGCCTGGCCTGATCTCCCTGGTGAATACGCTCCCACCCCGACGCGGACAAAATTCCCGACCAAACCCTGGCTTCACAGGAAAAAGTTCCAGCACTGACCCCGCCCCGCCGCCGGGACAAACTTTCTGGCCCCGCCCACGCATCGCGTCAATGATCCCGGTCCGCGGCAGACTTCCCCAGCCAACCTCCTGGCCCGCTCCCCGGGTCCCCAAGCAACAGCTGGAACCCGCCCCCTCCTTCTCGCGTTAATACACTGACCCCGCCCCCCGACGCGCCAGTTATCTCCGGCCACGCCTCCGATTTGCCCAACCGACCTTCTAGTCACGCCCCCTGGCTCCCGGGCCCCATCCCGGTCGCGGCAATATCTGGCCCCGCCCCCGGCACCCCCAGCTCAGGGGCAGCCAGCTTCCGGACCAATGCTCTGACCTTGCCCCTGGCTCCAGCCAAACTTTCTGGCTCCACCCCGGCATTCCCCAACCGGGACCCTGGCCCCGCCCCTTAACACCTCCAGCAACTCTTGGCTCCGCCCTTGCATCGCGTCAGCCTCTGGACCCGCCCCTGACTATCCCGCCAGCGATCTGGACCCACTTCCCACTTCCAGATCAGGCAAAACTTTCTGGTCCCGCCCCCAGCATTTTCGGCCAGCGGCCCGGCCCCGCCCCCGAACTCTCCGGGCAGCACCTGGCCCCGCCCCCCAGCGCGGGCTCAACTTTTCGGCTTCGTCCCCAGCTGCCCGTCCACGCTCTGGGCCCGCCGGGGCCCTGCCCACTTGCCAACGTCCCGCCCCGCCAGCGCCCCTCTAGCTTCCCATGTGGGCGTCCAGTCCCCGCCCCCCGCAGAGCACTCTGACCCCGCCCCCGCGGGCTGCTCGCTCCCCCGCCTGCGCTGGTTCCCTCCACGTGGGGCGTCAGGCCCCGCCCTCTCCGGGCGCGCTCCCGGCCCCCTCTCCCGGTCACCTGTCCCGGAGACCCCGCGGCGTCGGCGACTCCCGCTCCGTCGGCCTCCGCGTCCGCAGCTCCCGGGCCGCGCGCGTCACTTCCTGCCTGCACCACGTGAAGAGGGGAAATAAAGAGGGTCACTTCCGGTCTGCGGCCCGTTTCCGGGATCCTTAAAGGCGCCGCGCCCCCACGGGTGGGCGCGTGAGTGGGTCGTGCTGGTCCGCAAGCGTGTTCTGCACCCTCCTTCTGCCCGGATTGCTTTGTAGGGAAGGGAGACACCAACCCTCCCTGTGGCCCCCACATGCTCCTCTTAGTTCCTGGTTCTCACAAACCGGTGCGTGCCAGGCGCTGGCCAGTGGCTCCTGGAAGCCGGCCCTGCTAGCCTTGTGCTGGGGGAAATGAGGGAGGGGTCAAAGTGATGAACGAGGAGGGCAGGCACAAGTAAATGGGAAATAATCTAAAACAGAAACAGAAAGGTGGGAGAGGCCTTGGAAGGGGCAAGAGGAGAGAGGCCTGAGGGGTGGCTGTCCAGGCAGAGGACACACGACCTGTGCAAAAGACCTGTGGTGAGTGAGCTTGTATTCCACGAGCTGGAAGAAGCTCAGAAAAGGATCAGCTAGATTGGGCTACAGAGTCCAGGGGGTTAGGCAGTAACCAAAACTTAGCCATAGTAAACCAATTTGTTGTTAATCCTCACCCCGAGGATATTTTTTTGCATCGATTTTTGGAGGGAGGGATGGGGAGAGAGAGAAAGACATGGATGACACATCAATTGGTTGCCTCCTGCACGTGCCCCAACTGGGGCTGGAGACTGAACCTGCAACCCAGGTACATGCCCTTGCTAGGAAATCTAACCCTCGACCCTTCAGTACGTGGGCTGACACTCTAACCACTGACCCACACCGGCCAAGGCAATAAACCAATTATTATGAGTGATGATAAATGCTATGTAATACCCTTACAGGAGGTGATGAGTTATGTGGGCAGACCAGATTCTCTGAGGTTGCTAGTAATTTTATTTTGTGGTTTGAAACATGGAAAGTGGAAGTACCTGATATTCCCCTGCCCTTTATATGGCTACTATATACAGCCTTTCAGCTCTTTATTCAAATGTCACCTCCTTTCCCAGGGAGCGTTTCTTAAAACCACTCGTTAAAATGGCAAAATCTGCCCTGGCCGGTTTGGCTCAGCGGTTAGTGTCAACCTGCGGTCTCGAGAGACCCGGGTCTGGTTCCCGCTAAGGGCATGTATCTCGGTTGCAGTTTGTCCCTGGCCCTGCTTGGGTTGTGCGGGTGGCAGCCACTCGATGTGTCCCTTTCACGTCGATGTTTCTCTCTCTCTCTTCCTATCTCTCCCTCCCACTCAATCTGACCAAAAAAATGGAAAAATGTCCTCAGGTGAGGATAAAAAAAATTGCAAAATCTCCCATCCCTTTTCCTCTTCCAACCTTATTTCTCTATTTATTGTTAACCCTCTAAACTGCCATCTCTTACTTATCTTGTCAACTGTCTTCTGTACTGCACATCATCTGCTCTGTACCATGCTATGTTCCCAGTTCCTTGTACATCCCAGGCTCTCAAAAAATATTTGTTGAATGAGTAAATATTTATTACTGGTATTTCCTTGCCTTTTTAATAAAACAAAAGGTAGCTATGCTGCACTGAAATTCTGTATCTTTAACTTAACAGAGGATGGTTCACAAGTTTTTTTTGTTTTTGTTTTTGGGTACGTGCTCCTAGTGGGAACCGAACCCGGGACTCTCTGGTCCGAAGGCCGATGCTCCAACCGCTGAGCCAAACCGGCCAGGGCAGTTCACAAGTTTTTTAGAAAGAGGAAGGGAGATAGACACATTGATCAGATACCTCCTGCAGGCCCCCAACCCGGGCATGTGCCCTGACCAGGAATCCAACCGGGATCTTTCAGTCCATGAGACGATGCTGACACTGGCTGGGCAGTTCACAACTTTTTTAACTGCTGAGTAATATTCCATCCTGTAGATGGGCCATAATTTGCCCCACCTGGCCTCATGGACGTTTGAGTAGTTTCCAGTTTGGGACAACTGCCCACAATGCTGCATTGAATTTGTAGAAGCACACATCTTGGTGGGTACATGATCCGTAACTTTGCTCAGAAAGAACTCACAATGTTAGGATTAAAACTGGACTCTGGCCCAGCCTCTGTGGCTCAGTGGATTGAGCATCGTCCCATGAACTGAGAGGTCCTGGTTCGATTCCTGGTCGGAGCACATGCCCAGGTTTGGGGCTTGATCCCCCGTGGGGATGGTCAGGAGGCAGCTGATTGATGTATCTCTCTCATATCAATATTTTTATCTCTCCCTGCCTCTCTAAAAAAATCAATAAAAACATTTTTTTAATGGTCTCTGAAGCCAGAAGGCATAGATTTGAATCCTGGCTCTGTCTTCTACCGACTGTGTGATCCTGGGATATATAGGACACTTCTCTGGATTTCCACTTCTTCATCTGTAAACTAGAGATTGTGACGCCTCCCTGCTAGGTTTGTTGTGCAGAATTCAATGGCTCGGTGAATTAATACATAAAAAGTGCATGGCACAAAGCCTGAAATATAGTAAGTTCTCAATAAATGGAGACCATTTATGACTTCTAAAAAGACAAATTGCTGGATCAAAGGTTAATTTACTATAAAGTAAAACTGACAGAGGTGGACCCAGGTTGTGTAGGGCCTGAAGTTTACACAAGTTGGAAGCCCTCTTGAAGAAAATGAATAAAAGAATGTGAGACTTCGCCCAGCCAGTGTGGCTCACTGGTTGAGCATCGACCCATGCACCAAGAGGGTCGCTGGTTCGATTCCCGGTCAGGGCATATGCCCAGGTTATGGGCCTGATCCCCAGTGGGGGGCATGCAGAAGGTGGCCAATCGATGTTCTCTCTCATCAATGTTTCTATCTATCTCTCCCTCTCCCTTCCTCTCTCTCTCAAAGCAATAAAGAAAAAAAAAAGTGAGACTTGAAGGACACCTCCCAGGGTATTGGACACAGCCATGGAAGCGAGGGACCAGCAGCTTATACTTATCGGCCTCACTGTAAAGCCACCGCTAAGGGCATGTACCTCGGTTGCAGTTTGTCCCCGGCCCTGCTTGGGTACTGCGGGTGGCAACCACTTGATGTATCCCTTTCACGTCAATGTTTCTCTCTCTCTCTCTCTCCCTCTTCCTCTCTCTCCCTCCCACTCTATCCGAACAACAACAACAACAACAAAATATATATCTCTTGGGATGAGGATTAAAAAGAAAAAGATTAGCAACAAACATTTTTTGATTGATTGATTTGAGAGAGAGAGAGAGAGAAATCGATTTGTTGTTCCACTTATTTATGCATTCATGGTTGCTTCTTGTATGTGCCCTCATGGGAGATCCAACCCTATTGAGAGGACTCTCTAACCAACTGAGCTACCAGGCCAGGGCAGAAAATGAAATTTGAAAGTTCAAAACACAAATCTAAAAATACTTTGTGTGTATATGTGAAACAGAGTTAAAATCTAGCATTAGTCCTTAACTATCAGGCTACATGAAGACCTAGTAGAAATTTGATAGGCGTGCAGGCTGGCTTTGGTGGTGCACGTTTTCACCACCAGAGGGCGGCATGGTGCATTCCCTGCCGCTTTAGCAGTGGGACAAGCATTCATCCAACAAATAGTTCTTTATTTTATTTTTTAGAGAAAGGGGAAGGGAGAGGGAGAGAGAGATCGAAACCTCAGTTAGAGAGAACATCGAGTGGCCCTCTCCTGCATGACCCCCACTGGGAATCAGGCCCACAACCTGGGAATAGAACTGGAGACTTCTTGGTGCAGGAGTCAGTGCTCAACCACTGAGCTACACTGGCCAGGCAACAAATAATTGTTGAAACAACATAAAATCGACTTTGTGCCGGGTCTCATTCTAGTTTTTAGGTCTGTGAAACGGGGATTCGAATGTACAGCTGTGCGGGAGGCACGTCCCTGCTGCCATGAAGCTCACTTTCTTCGAGAGGAAGCAGACAATAAACGACTAAACAAATTAACGTCTGATAGCAGTGCTGTGGAACAAAATAAGGCACGGTGAGAGGACAGAGATGGTCCTGGAAGGTTTCTCCAATGAGGTGACATTTGAAGAGACCAGAATGAAAT